TACCTTGTTGTATTCTACCTTGTTGTATTCTACCTTGTTGTATTCTACCTTGTTGTATTCTACCTTGTTGTATTCTACCTTGTTGTATTCTACCTCGTTGTTGTTCAAGCTACGCTCAAGCTCGCATCCTCTTCAAGCATCCTCTTCATCGAGCCCGCCGGCGCTCTCCTATTCGTCCCTTTCCTGTTACATGTCGGTGATGGTCGTACACACCAAGAGGAGGAATGACAATGGTGGATACATACAACGGACGCCCGTCACACGATACATGCCCTCGATGGCCCCGCTACAGCCTGCAGCATCGCTATGGTCTACACTGCTCGAAGTGCACACACACACACAGATCCAGACCCGTTCACGACGGAGCGCAAGCCGGCCTCGTCCTCCGTCGTCATCGTCCACCAGCATCACTGACGTCGACGCCCCTCCTACTACCCACCCACAACACCTCGGGGGCGATGTCGTTACTCCTCACGATGGTAGTTTACCCGCCTCAAGACCCACGGCAGCGTTTCGATTGGGACCCGAACTATTCAGCTCAACCGTTGTTGTTGTGTCCCCCAATGCGGCCTCGCGGTGGCAAAGCCGCTCGTCCTCACCTGTCCTTCGCGTTCTCCTCGTTCCTTCTCTTCTTCCTTCTTCTCTCCATCTTCACAGTAAGGTCCCTACAGAGCAGAAACTCGCTGACAGCTACACAGACTACACAAATCTCATTCACAATGGCAAAGGAGTTCGCTTCCAAGTCATTTTCCGGCGGTGTTGACTCGAGGAAGAGCTCGCGGGCTTCCAGGGCGCGTCCCTGGTTGGCCAACAGCATCCTCCGACGACAGTCGGCCGCCACTGGTGTCAAGGGTTGTGAGGGTGCCCCCTCGCTTCCCAAGGCAACCACTGTGACCCTTGGCTCGGATCCGGCGCCGCCCGTTACTGTCGAGCGTGTTGCCGTGAAGCAGTCGGCGTCCAAGATACCAATCTTGGTTCGTCGTTGTGGATCGGCCTCACTCGGCAAGGGCGGCGTGCAGGAGAAGGCCAAGTCAACCGCCATGCCATCTACCGTCACAGGGATGGCGACCTCGGCGTCACGGATTCCGGTTCGCACCAAGGTGCCGTCTGTTGGTCCCCGGCTTGTTCCTCAGCAAGTACGAACCAACAAGGCCCTTGGTGCTGCTGCCGGTCTCCCGGTGGGCAAAGAGGTTGGCAACAAGAGGGGTACTGGGGGTTCTGCTGTCGCCATCAGCCGACCCAAGCCTGAGCCAGAGGAGATGTCGATTCAGAAGTGCATCAACCCGGCGCCAATCAGGAGCCATCGATCTGACATTGCTGTCAGGTCGATCCTGAAGCATCGGGCGAAGCCTTCTGAGGAGACTGATCCTCACTGTCCACTTGATTCTCGCGGCAATGGAGTGAAATCCAACCCGGCCGAGAAGAAGAGTGTGACATGGCCCGAGGTGTACGCCATCCCCACCCCGGCACGCCCATGGCACAAGGAAGCAGTTCCTGCCTGGGAGTGTCGGCTGTGTCGGGGGTGCGGCCACCGAGGATGGTGCCCGTCGCTGATCGGCGTCACGCTGGGTCCGCAGGCAATTGATGTCTGGCTGAGGGAGCAGAGGGCTCGAGGCTATGATTATCTGGAGCATTCGGGTGGGTTCTTGAGCTCGAGGGATCATGATCCCATCGAGCCCGTGATCTTTTGATGTCTTGTGTGAGCCACACGTGGCCCGAACTCTCAGGGTTCGACTACACACTCAACATCTTGACACCTGTTTGCTTCCAGCAATTCCTGTCGGTCCCTGTGGGTTCTGGGGAATTTGCGACCCGCTGGTTCTGGGGGCTCTTCACGCAATGGCTGCAGACTGTCTGAGGCGTTCGGTGGGGCATCACTGATAGTCGACGCTGTCTGTCTAGTCGCAGAGGCTTCGGGACGCCGAAAGTTTCTTGCCTTGGTTGCTTCAAACTTTGTTTACCTTCCTCATGTTGGTTCATTGAGTTGTGGCTTACACTGTAGGCTGGGGCTCCTTGAGCAGGTCGCAATGCGCACGAGCAGGGGGATGTGACACACGCACTTGCAACCGAGCACAGTCTTGTTTTTTTCTTTCTCTTTCTATTTTCAGAAAAGGCGGATCGAGGACGCTCGTGAGGCCACCAAAAAAACTTGGAAAACTACAAACTCATACTCAATGTTCTTTTGCTTTTGGTAGATAGCTTCACAGACTGTGCCCATTCGATGGTTGCTTGATGCGTGAAAGAGGAGGACCTGAGAGATTGAGTGAGCAGGCTCTGGGCCATGGTTCTCACACTTTGTCACTTTGAAGGATACATTGAACACCAGCATGTCACGCCGATCATCACAGAGGTCAGATTGAGGCTTTTGCCTGAACAGGGTTCTGATTCTCTTGTTTGGTTCATATGCACATTTCACTACTCTTGCACCAATCTCTGGCCTTACACTTCTGCCTTGGGGATGTGGAACACTTTTTCATCATTGTGATGCCTTGAGCAACACCTTGGAGAAGGGGAGAATCGTACATATTGGATGTGAAGGCGGGATGGTGTGTCATAAGAGAGCGTGATGTAGACGGCGAGAAGCGTGAGCAACACCTTGGAGAAGGGGAGATGTGTACGACATGGGCTTGGAGAGGGATTATCTCAATTCTGAAAGTGTCGTGGACGCCGATACGCGTGAGTAACGCCTTGAAGAAGAGGAGGGAGGAGAGGAGAGGTAAGGCGGCCCCTCAGTACAGCCGTTACGAATGGAGGGGCATACAGCACGATCTTTGGCACCTAATTCAGTACCCAGGGAGTCTGCCTACGACATCTATAAGGTCATACGAAGTATACCGACCCCTGATATGGCACGACATGGCATGGATCGAGCAGTAGTGCCGACGACGACGTCCGGTGTGCAGAGTGCAACGTGCAAAGTGCACCGTCCGCCGCCGTGTCCACCCGGTTCAGCAGTGACACGAGCGTATACCGTTGTCTGTAGTCTGTAGTCTGTAGTCTGTAGTCGGTGGATGTATCATGTATCATGTATCATGTGCTTTGGCTGTGCGTTGGTCGAGTGAGTTATAGTAATATACTATGGCCAGGACAGGACAGGTCAGGACAGCACTGGTCAGGACGGGTCAAGTCACATGTTATGGGCCACAGGTATGTACTCAAGATAAGCCGGGCATCTCTCTCGGTCGGGTCGGTCGGTCAGGCAGTCAGTGAGTGAGTTAGTCACTCAGGCAGTCAGTCCGTTAACGGGAAAGGACCCTCTCCTCCACTCTGCATATAGTACTGCAGGCTGTAGCTTACTGTGGAATGAGAACTTACTACTTGGCCTGGAGTGCAACTTGAGCGAAATTAACTGCTGTGCTGCAGTGTGAGAGGGTGAGAGGGTGAAGGTGTGTAGGTCCATGTTGTGAACGATGTACGGAATTAGTACACTCGATATTGTACGGAGCACACTGCACACGTATATGTGGAAGCATATTTTACGTGTAAGTAGAAGCGTAGAGAGAAGCAGAAGCAGAAGTGGAAGCATACAGTAAGTACTCTGTAGATAATCGATTACTCTACGTACACTCCGTGCACTCTACTCTCTACTCTCGTCGGGACCCGTCTAGAATGGCCGTACTGTCTCTCTGAGATGAAACGAGTTAACTTGACTTGGATGAGTTGATATGCTTTTCCTAGCGCGTGCCTTACTCTCTGTACATGGTCGATGGTTCTTTGGTCCTGCGTCTTGCGTCTGAGCCTTGCGTCTGAGTCTTGCGTCTTGACCCCTCCGGGATCTTTGCTTCTACAACAAGTCACCCTGCAGCCCAGCTGCACTGCCGTCCGACTACTGTGTATGTATGTATCCCTACCGTACATTTGACAAGTCAATCGATTATTGAATCACTCAGCAATCAGCCAGCAATTGTTCTCAACCTCAACATCCTTTGCCCGTCTGTATTTGACATTGTATGCTCCAATGGCTTGGGAAGAATCTTCGGGTCCTGGTGTGCTCGTGCCATATTCATACTTGTGCACGTTCATGTTCATGTTCGACGAATAACAACAAATTCGATGCTTCTGCCGCGTACAGTACTGTAGCTTACACTGTAATCTGACCTTGGGCTCTTACATCAGTCGTCACCCGGCGAGACTTGACGGGAGCTCGGCTCGTTCCGTACTCTCTCAAATGTCCTGCCCGCCAGCCCAGCACAGCCTTCCACTCCTCCGCATATCTGCGCCGCGTCAAGCCTGAAGAAATACCACGTCCGAGGGCTGGCTCCATTTGAGAAGACAACTTAACTCGATGAACAACTCTTATTTTGCCTCTTCTGCTTTTCCATCTCTTCCTCTCACGCGCACGTCACGGCGACTCGCACCTTTCAAACCATAAACCTCAACGCCTCTGTTGCGAATATTCTCGCCTGTCCGGCTAGATACACGGGTTCCGCAGTGCTGATGGTCACACCGACAATGGCACGTCCCTACCGTCCACTCGCCGCCGCCATCTCGCCCTGCGTCTCGAGGATATCCGCGTAAATCTCCAGCGCACTGCCGATCATGTCCACAATCGCCCAACTGGTATTACCCTTGAAGGTCTTGCTCCACACTCTCACCACCGCGACACTCAGCTGTCTCATCTTCTCAGTGTCGTCGAGTAATTCGCGCGACTCGTTCAGAACAGTATGGTCATTTGCATCGCCGTTGAGAGGAACAGTCATCTCTGTCTCGTCAAGCAGGGAACGCACCCAGAGGAGGAGTTTGCGTTCGTGTTCGGTGACAGGTGCGCCGCCAGAAGACTTCAGGTTGGAAAGGACGTACAACCACTTGGAGAGCAGGAAGGCGCATTCGAGACTGCAGAGGGAGTGCTGGATTGACCAAAAGAAGGTCTGGGTGCGGGCGACGAAATCAATTCCTAGGCGCACGGGGATTGAGAGCGCGTGGGCCGAATGCAACAGCGCTGGTGTGAGGCGTGGGTCACGACGGATGTCCGGCGTGTTGAGTAAGGCGCTCGCAATCTGGGCCGCGTCTCGACTTTCCAGATGGCGGAGCGGACCCATATCAACATGAAGGCGGATGTATGCCAGGCCTAAGAGGGCAGTTGACGTGAACGCGACGGGACCATTGGGGTTCTGCGGATCGAGACTTGATTCCGGAGCACGTTTCCAACCTGCTTTCCACGACGAAAGACCACGGTCGAGGACTGCGATGTCTTCCATTCGAAGACTTGAGCCAGCCACACCAGGCCACGCCAGGGAGAGCTGCCGTGCAAAGAAGATCTGCTGGATGAGTGCGTGGACGAGTATATAGTTGCCCAGGGGTGAAATAGGAGTCGACGTGGCTTGATTCTGCTTGGTGAAGAGTCGTGAGAACGCAGTTTGGAACGGCATCTGCGGTGCGGCGTTGGCTTGCCGCAGTTTCTGCCATTGTTCGGCAGTGGTTGCTTTCCATTCATTAGCCGGGTCGGGCAGGTTGAGTTTAATCTCAGAGTTGAGGATGAGTGGAGGCACGTTCCAGGTGATGGAGTGCAAATTGAAAAAGCAGTAGACAATCAGCTTCGTGCGCTTCTCGCCTTCGATTTGGATCCAGTCTTCCCAAGTCAACTCTTCCGGTGACTGCATGATCTCGGGACTAGTAAGACCGGCTTCACGAACGAGCCGCGCGAGGATGCTTTGGAATGCCAACGCTTCGCGCAGCAGCTCGGTGTGTCTCTCCCAGGTGGCAAAAGCCGTCAACAAAAGCAGTGCCTGGATCGAGTCCATCTGCTCTTTGCTGTCTGCAGCGATTGCATCTTCCGGGGAGACTTGCTGGAAGGGACTGCTGCTCGAGTGGCTCTGGTTTGCGAACCCTCCTCCTGGCGACTGCACCATCGACCCAGTGCGAGGTCGGTTCCACAAGTGGGGCGTCGAAGACTCATCGCGACGCCGGATTTGTTCCAACACGACAGCCTTGGCGGCATAGAACAGTTCAATGCCCCGACTATTTTCGAACCGGTACTGTGCTCCTACGGCAGCCAGGGCGAGGACCAGCTCCGGACCACTGGCTGCGACCTGCAAAGTCGGCACATGAATAAACGGCAAGTGTTCATGGAAGCCATTAACGTATCCAGCCAAGTAGCGTGAAAGCGAGTGCCTTGACGGAGGAATGAACCCTTTCGGCATGACATTGTCGAAAGCTTGAAGCCTCGATGCAAAGATGGATCGATCCGAGTCAGAGACATCCCAGGTGGTTCTGACCACTTTAGCCTCTGCTTCTTCGACCGTCGTGCTTCGCGGAGGGTCTGGCCGAGTGAAGTCAGGATCTCGCGGCTCTGGTTGAAGGGACGGTAATCTTGAGCCAAATCGCGAAAAAGTGCTTGTTTCTTCTTGTGGAACAGCGAGTTTGCTATCGGTGGAATGCTCACCGTTCAAATGCGGTCTCGATATGTTCAGGTGATCACCTCTCAACTCGGTGGGCGAGTTGTAGTTGTCAACCTGATCATTCCCAAACATGTTGGCATACCATTCGGACGAAAGGCCTACGCTGTCCAGGAATACTGTGAAGTCTTGCATGGGATCGCCAAGGTCTGGGGTTTCGAACATGGAGGTAGACTGGCCGTAACCTTCGGTCAGCATTCTTGGTTGGTACTGGCCGTCGGTGACAGCAGGCATCAACTGTTGCATCGGTTCGTTCAGTTGTTCTTGCGTCACAGGCAGACCGGACATGTACTGATCTTGGCCGCTTGAGGCGACATGGCTTGCGGCATGCGACAGAAGGTTCAAGTCGTAGCCCCAGGATGGATCCAGCGACGGCGCATTGATCGCTGATGAATGATGCGCAGATATCCCCTCAACGGAGTTGATACCGTTGGCAGGTTGCATGAGCTGTGGATCTAGCATATCCATCATGCCTCTCCCATCGTGCGCAGTCGCCTGGGGAGATAGCAAAGGCTGATTCTGCTGCGGCGTAAGGTCCATGGGATCGGAGTCAACTCCCACCGCCTGTTGCACCTGGGCTTGCACCCTTGCTGCGGCTTCCTTTGCATTGTTGGCATTCTGAAGATGGTGCTTGTGCGACTTTCTTGTGGTATGCTGCTCTTCCTCGCCCGGATGGACGAGTCTCTCGTGTCGCACCAGCAGGTCGCTGCGCGCAAACGTCTTGGAGCATATCTCACACACAAACGGCTTCTCCTTGGTATGCGTGCGGATGTGGCGTTGGAGGTGTTCCTATATTGCACACGGCCATGTCAGTCGCCGCCCGCAGCATTGGACTCGATGTGGTTGATGAACGGGGAGCTTACCAGCCGCGCAAACAGGCGTTGGCAGTGCGGACACGGCAACGTCTTGTTCTTGTTCCCAGATTGCTTGCGTTTCACTCTTCCGCCGCCGGTCAACTGTGTTGCGTCCATAGCTTCATAAAGGCGTCGCTCTATCGATGGGTGTGGAGATGCGATTCTCAGTGAGGGGTACTTCGACATTCGAGGACGGATTCCGAGGAAAGCTGGAGATGAGGAGATGAACTGCGGAGCAGAGCAGAGGGGTGAGCAAGCTTCATTCTCGCTCCGTCCGTTTCCAGCCTCCTGGACATCTGCCGAAATGCCGAACGTGCGGAACGGCATTACGCGGTCTGAATAGAGTTTAGCCCACATGTGGAGCGGAAGGTCTGCCGATCGCCGTCGGCGCTGCTCGGGCGGACTTCCGCCAGGCTACAACGCGCATCGCAACGCGACTGCAAGGCCGATTGACTGTGCTCCAACTGGCTCGGTGAATAGGTTCATCTTCCCTCTGGCACGCGAATGAGATTCAGCGCCGCATCAATAACACCACTTGCATTGATCCATCAACACGTTCAGCTCGTCGTTGAAAGGTACAAGGTAGCTCCCGAAAGGATTGTGTCTCCCTCGTCCAAGTCTTTCGATGATGTGCGGTGTGGAAACAGCGCACTCTTGTGGTAAAGCAGGCTCCCTGCAGGTGTCTGCCCTTGGTTCTTGTCTTCTCGCTGTAACAACGAGACTCGAGGTGACCGGCAGCTGTAGCGCCATCTCCAGGGCACTGGTACTCCCTAAAGTTCCCAACACCATGTGCGACGGCTGCCTTTTGTCAGCAATTCAACTCGAGGCTTCCCCCACACTCGATGACTTATGGACAAGCAGGTGAAAAAATAAATACTGGATAATCTAATACTCACTCGCTCTTTGCTGGTCCAAGGAATGGGCTCCACGCGAGGGATGCCTTTCCACGGTATCCCGCCATGTTTCCAACGCGCTTTTACGGGCGAAACAACTGGACTGGCATCGATGAATGCCTTCCCAAGCACTCGAGTTCTGGATATCGCGGTCGATATTCTTGAGCAGGGGCTAATTATTGCATACTCGACCTGCAGATCTCTGATAATGGCGAGCTGACAAAGAAGCTTATGACGAACCGAGATCCAGATTGTATCTTGTCGGCTTGTCGGTGTTCTGGTTCTGGGTTGGCTACCAGACGTTGGTGAGGTAGAAAGTGAGTGCCCAGAATGTTTCAAGCAGGGCTGCAGGACTGGCTGGACTCTGGAACTGAACCGACCTTCTCATTCAACGCGTATTGGCCTGGAGGAGCGTCTCTTCACCAAGTCGAGCACGGACATGCAGGGCAAGCAGAACGGAAAAATGCTGGCGTGATTTGTCACTGCAGGATCGTCCAGCTATTCACAATTCGTTAAACCGAAGGCGCCAAGAGCGTAAATTGGGGATTGCCTCAGCGGAAAGTGTTGTCATAACAGGACGTCAAGAGCTGCACCCTGTAGGTACGTCTCAATTTGAAAGACGATGCCTATGGACCGTACCAGCTGAGATGAAGGCCGCGGAGGGGTATTCGAGGTGAAAGGCACTTTTCGTGTCTAAGGTATCATCTTCGTAATCTTCAGGTTGTTGAGAACCCAGCTATAAATCTTTCAGCCTCCTCAGCGGTCGGGGTCTGGCTGCCCATCTCCCGATCATGACTTCGCAAACTGCACCAACCAGTCTGCCAGTTTCTGCACATTTTCCAGGGGCACTGCATTGTAGTTGCTCGCGCGGATGCCGCCAACAGATCTATGGCCCTTCAGACCGAGCAGGCCTTGCTTTTCGGCGCCAGCGAGGAACGCCTTTTCCTTCGCGTCATCGGGATCTCCTCCCTGTTTCTGCACGATTCGGAAGCATATGTTCATCCTGCTCCTCACCGTACTATCCGGGACGACACGATACGTGTCCGAATGAGCGTCAAGGGTGTCGTATAGAATCCTTGCTTTCTTATCCGCAACCTCTTCTTGCCCGGAAACCTTCTTTGAACCGTACGTGGCTACGAGCTGTTGCAGAACCAGAGTCGCAACATACAGGTTGAAGATAGGAAGCGTGTTGTACAGGCTGTTGTTTGACGCGATGGTCGAGAATGAGAACATGATCGGTGGCAGACACCCCGAAGTCGGGATCACAGGCGACAAGGCATGAATGAACGTCGGAGGCGGGACAAGTTCCAGTAAGGACTTCCGGATGATGACAACGGTGATGCCGGCGATACCGAGGTTTTTCTGAGCACCTCCCTGGAGCGGACCGTTAGCATACAGTATACAGCAAATTTTTGGTCAATGCTGTCAGTAGTGACTCACAAAGATGATGCCATACTTTCGAACATCGATTTTCCGGCTGAGGAAGTTGCTGGACATGTCGACCACAACGATTTGCTCATCGCCTTCCAATGACTTGGGGAAACTCGGGTACTCAACGCCGTCAACGGTCTCGTTGTCGCAGAGATATACGAACGCACTCCCCTTCGGCGTCAATTTCCATTCCGGCTCATCGGGGATTTTGCCGAACTTGCCCCCGTTGCTCTTCCTCGCATCGAGAGCGACGTTGACGTAGTTTGCACCAATCAGTCTCGTTGCCTCTTGACTGGCTTTTAGAGACCAAGAGCCTGTCACGAGATAGTCGACCTTCAATTCACTCTCTATTTCCTTCTTCACCCGCACGAGGACTTCGGCATCCTTGCCTTCCCCGAGCTCCCTGACAGCTTTCCTCCGCCGCTTCTCAATCCAGGCTCCGACGAGATTTTGCAGTGCGGCGCTGAACTCTCCAGTGCCTCCCGCTTGCATGAACAGGATCTCATATTCGTCCGCGGGGATATCGTAGAGAGTTGTCAATGCCTCTTTGGCGTCAGCGAGGATTTTGTTTGCTGTCGAAGAACGATGCGAAATCTCGGCCAGCGAGAGACCGGTGTTTTCGAAGTTGACAAATGCTTCGGCAGATTTCTCTATGACCGACGTTGGCAACGGGGCGGGCCCAGCGCCGAAGTAGGCGACTTCCGAGCGACTGGGCATTGTTTGAAAGCCTTTGGTTTGAGCGACAAGAAAAGGTTCTGGAGCGTGCAATGGCGCAATATCATCCGAATTATTGAACGAAGCTGAATCTTTGCTCAATGCTCTAGCTCTATGTGCAGTGAGGCAGTATCATGGACTTGAGAGCCCTTGAGGTAAGAATGCGGGTGGAAATGAGTCAATGCAGAAAAGTCTGGGGTAGGACGACGGGCCATTGAGATCACAACCTTTTGCGGCTCTTGGCAGGAGAAGAAATTCTCGCAGCCAATCGACGATGAGAGAGCTGCAAGGCTCCGATCAGTTCCCTGGTACTGGTTACTGAGACAAAGGTATCATGATGTTCTCTACCATATACGTGCCACAGCGAAGTCATTTACATCGTCCCCCCCCAATGAGTGGCAATGTGATAACAATGTCCGAAGTGCATGTCTGATTCGACTGGCAGAACACAATGCTGGTGATGGTAGAGGGCGCGTCCTCCCAATCGCGTGTAACACCTCTCCATCCTCATCATATCGAGAGTAACTATGGTCCTCCAGCAACGATGGTACATCATTGTCACCCAGTCAGAGCGGGCACCTTTGAGTGGAGGTATCACTGCCTCCTCTTAACGTATGATATCAGTCATCCACTATGGTCTGAGTCTCAGTCCCGGTTCTCATCAACATTGAAGTCCTCATCCTCGTCAACCTTGTAAGTATGGTTTGCGTCTGCATCTTGGGTGTCTCGAGGTGAGAGATCTCCTTTGAGCTCTATCTCTTCTGAGGTGCCTGGTTCTTGGGCACAGGGACGAAAAGGGGCAGTAGGCGGGGTGGGTCGTCCACTTTCTCGAGCATTGGTATGCCTCTCTCTCCAGGGTGGATGCCACCGGTTGTCGACTCTGGTGACGACGTTATGTTGGCCAGAAAGTCGAGGGGACTGTATGTCCATTGGCATTCGTTGTGGCCGAGGCTGCAGATCAGGTTCGGATAGTCGTTTGAGAAATAGTCTGGCTTGGGAATTGCATTAAGAGCGTAGATTGTCTGAGGGATGGTCTCCAAAGACATGCAACCGGTAACAGAGGAGGCACGAATCCAGAAAAGACCGTGCTTGAACCAGTGATCGATGCAGTCACAGCTGTAGCTCACATCTGCACGTTGGACTGTTTTGGGGTTGTTGGGGAGAGCAGCTGGTAGGGCGACCACTAGAGGGGCTATCATGGCGGTGAGAGCAAAGTATAGAAAGGTGACCATTTCGAGGCCGGTGAATTCGTGGAAGAGAAAGTTCGTCAAGGCGAGCAAGGATTCAATTGTGGCCGAAGCAATAAAGTGCCACGGAGCAACGGTAGTGACCAGGGTATGAGACGCTTCAGGTCAAGTTGCGAGAGGCTTGCGTTGAGGATTGCGAAGGAAAAGACGTGAAGAAATGGATGAGGACCAGTCCTGGCAGAGATGAAGGTGAAGCTGAAGTAAAGGAAGGTCGAAAAAGTGGGAGGCGCCTTCCCATCTTCGCTCTATGTGCGACCCTCGTCATATCTCGACTACTGATACTGGAGGACCACTCACCTTGCCTTGGGAATGAGCCATTGCCAGCATGCGCGCCTTCCGTACCGAAAGTGACTTGATGTCTGGTGGATTGTTGCAAGCGAAATGGTCAAGCATCTTTCGGACCACACTAGTGGTAGGGTTCATCAGCTGCTCAAGCGCCGTTCTCACACACTCATCCACGTGTCCCTTGACTCTCGAGGCTCGTCTGATGCACTTGCCTCACCGTGGACCTGAAATCTTCACCGCGTGTGTCATGGGGGTTTCCGAGCCTGGGCGTGGTTGTTTTACGCAGTGTTTACTTTGAGTCTTTCTAGGCAACAACAGTTCTGCCGGCCGGAAGCTAAACGCCATCGCCCACTTCCACAATGTGTGCCAATGAGCAATCACTGAGCAACAAGATCGGATTTCATACTACTGTAGCTGTGGGGGTACTCTTGTGTTACTCGGCTCCCTCAGTACACATTTGGACGTAGACATATTTGTGCCTTAGGCAGCAATGCCACGACGACCGCATAAGAAGTCACGTTCAGGCTGTCTTCGTTGCAAGAAGCGGCACATCAAGGTAAGTAACCGGCACCGGCGGTTCCATGGGTAGAATCTTTTCACTTTGCTCGCCGATGGACTAATCGAAGACGCGGCGTTCAGTGCGATGAGAGACGTCCTCGATGCGTCAACTGCCAGACTGCCGGGTTAGACTGTGCGTTCGCTTCAAATGTATCTGCGCCTGCCACCCCATCCGTGGAGACAGAGACTGCTGCTGCCAGCGCTTCAGAGACATCAACACCAGACCAGCAACGCCAAGGTCATGGACAGTTCAATGTGACGCCCGCATTTCCTCCCGCAGACACATCAGATCCTGTTCTGAACATGCAACACCTCGAGTTATTGCATCAATTCGTCACCTCTACCTATAGGACCTTCAACGATAACGACGAGGTCCGAGAGGTCTGGAGGACATCCATTGTCCGGATGGCTCTTGCGCACCCATACCTGATGTACGAGCTGCTTGCTATCTCGGCTCTACACCTCGCCTACTGCCGACCCGAATCCTCTCCATGGTATTATACCACATCCACGGAGCTGCAGACTCAAGCTCTCAATTCTTTCAACAACATACAACGGGCGGTCGACGCCTCGAATTGCGCTCCAGTCCTCATGTTCACATCGCTTCTTGCGGTTCATGTGCTTGCAGACCCCTCGCGCACCGTGGGACTGGGCACGAGCCAGTATCTTGACCACGTCATCCATTGTATCATGCTTATGCGCAACGTCCAAAAGCTAGTCATCCGGGACTGGTACGACCATCTCAAAAAGTCGGAGCTGGGACCTATCTTTGGGGTTACGCAGCCTGAAAAGCCATACCGGATTCCGCAGCCATGTCTCGACTTGGCCAAACTAATCGAGCAGTCGGACTTAGGGGAGCAAGCCAAAGAAGCATATAACTCGGCGATCGAGCGCCTCCACTGGCTCTACGCCGTTTCAAACGTGCCCAATGAAAATTATACCACCGTGCGATGGCTCCTTGCGTGGCCGATCCAGCTCAGCGGGGATTATCAAGATAAACTCAATCAGCGGCGCCCTGAAGCTCTGGTCATCCTTGCATACTTTGCTGTCATGCTCAGATTCTACAAGGGTTGTTGGGTGGTTGGGGATTCTGGAAAATTCCTTATCGAATCAATATCCGCACACCTGGGCCCTCACTGGAGGGATTGGATGGAGTGGCCGTTGTCATTCCTCACCGACTCAAGCGACACAGGTTGAAATAGGGGATCACTACATGTCATGTCAAATCGGACCAGCTAGTGTGGCAGAAGGTATCACGACCTACATTTGCCCAAGCTTGATGAGGGGTCGGGGAGCAGAACAGAAGGAAGTTCTCGTGTCCTTACCATGTGGTCTTTCAGAGCCGTCACCAACTAGATTGAACGAGGGTGTACATAAGACATACGACCAAGACCCTCCGCTCAACAAGACAATGTAGGTGGAGCCGTAAGAATCAATGCGCACTCCTCGATATGCTGGAGACTCGATCAAATCCATCTTGGTCCTCCTTTACTCCTTACACCCAGCCTTGTAAAGCCTCAGCCTTGCGAAGGCGGTCAGAGATGCCACCCCCACCATACTCCAAAATTCTGCCAGCAACTTTTTGGCTTGAGTTCAATTGGACCATTTCACTTCATCATTAAGCCCCGAGGCGACCGAGTCTCGCTGCCCCGAGTTTGACTCTCCGCTACTGCTACCATGATCCTTGACCTCCGGTAACACCTATTGCCGCCCGTCAAGATGTCGCGCGGCGGACGAGGAGGCAGCTTCGGCAGCGGCCGTCGCAACAAAAACGCCCCCGAGATAGAAGACTACGACTTTGACGAGGACGAGGACAACCTCACCCCCCGGCAAAAAAAGCCTCAGCCTCTCTTTCCAGTACAGTACACCCATACCTGCACTCCTATTCCCAAACCTAGACCTCCCCCCCCCACCAAATTGAACATCTTAGCGGCCGGCACGAGACCAAACCAGACCAGATGAGATGAGATGAGAAACAGACTATACAATACTAGACTAGACTAGACAGGACAAGACTAACGCTCTTCGTGACAACAGGACATTTCTCTCCCCGTCCCACGTCCGCCCACCGCGCGAGAACTCTCGGCCGTAGCGCGCCATCTTGCCTTCCGCACCCGCGTGCGCAATGGGCCTTACTTCGCGACCCTCGACCCCAGCAGCGTGGCCGACGCGATGACGGGACGCACGCTCAAGCGCGCAGGATTCGACCCATTCACAGACCAGGAGACCTACTCGAGCAGGAACTACAAGAAGAAGCGGGCGGTGCCGGACTTGAAGGGCGCGGGGCGGGAGTACGGTATGTCAAATGTCACACCTCGCCAAACTACGCGGAGGAGAGACGAAAGGATCAATGTTATGCAATGCGCTGTGACGTGCCGTGACGTGACGTGCACTTCTTGATGTGATCTTCTGATGTGAAGGTGTGAAATGACATGAGCTAATCTATGTCGGTTTCCCCAGCACTGAAATATTTCCCCCAAGAACTCTGGTCAACGCTGGACCCTTCGCGCAAACACCCCCTCTGGAAGACCGTCGATCCTGACGACGACGACAACAACAACAACAACGGCGGCGTCTCGGCCTCACGGCACGGATCACGCAAGCGCAAGCGGGAGACTACCACCGCGCTCGCGGCGCTGGATGTCGCCAATGATGACGATGACAATGACAATGACAATGACGACGACGACGGCGAGCAGACGGCAGAGTCCGACTCCGACGCATTAATCCCGTCAGGCAGGGGCGCGAGGGCCTCGAGGCGGAAGAAGAAGAAGAAGCAGAAGAGGGGCCGTGGGAGCGGGGGCGGTGGTGGTGGTGATGGGACGGGCAATTCGCGGGAGAAGCGCGGGCTGGACGCCGAGGACGACTTCGAGCCGATGAAGAAGAAAAAAGGCCCGTCGCCTCCGTCGACGATGCGGGCCAAGGAGAAGAAGCGGCGGAAGGCGGAGGCCCGTGCCGCGGGGACCAAGGTTGACGATACCGACGATGAGGATGACGACGACGAGAATGTTGACCCGGATCATGACGACGATGTCGGCGACGAGGACGAGGACGACGATGACGAAGAGCCCGTGGACTCGGACTTTGAAGAGAGCGACGAAGGCGATGGGGACGATTACAATGCGGAGAATTACTTCGACGACGGGGATCGCGACGATGATGACGGCCTCGGATTTGGAGGTGGAGGGGGTGACGAGGGCGGGGAGTTCTAGGCCTGCCTTGCTGGTTGATGCAGTCATGGAGTGGCCGTATCTCAAGGCGAGACAAGACTGACGCCCGATCACAGACAGGCAGGTGCTCTTTCGCTAGCGGAAACGAGTTTCAAGGTGGAGATAGATCAAGCACTTCCTGAACTCCTATGTGCTTTTCTTCACAAGCTTGCTTAAAGGAGCAGGGTCAAACCAGGCGAGCAATGCCCTGTGTATGTGGCTCGTGAGGATCGATTTCAATGCCAACAGCAAATTAATTTCTCCTAGATCATCTCTAAAGCACAGTATGAGTCGACCCTAGCCTTCCTGTCTCGCTATCAGTCGTCCACCAAGCATCAACAACGCAGCCTGGCGTATGTGATATCTGTCTTCCCTCCCAGAAGAGTCGTCTCGCATCCGATACATAGCCTACTGGAAATGTCTCCTTCAATAGGGCAGCTTGGGCGGCGGTGCGATTCCCGCCTCCCCGAAGAATCGCTTCCTCCTTGCTTTTCTTTTTTTGCCCTCCTCGGTCATGTATGCGACATATCGTCTCTTTTTGAGACCGTAGACCTCGTCGAACCTTTCCTTTGTCAGGTCAAAGTATCTAACCACCCGCCGCCGCCGCCTTCTCGAGGTGGAGAACGGCCAACCGAGAGCTGAAGGATCCTGGGTATCTTCTGGGTGACAAACCCAGCAAGCCCAGTCCTCAGTTTCAGGCCACGCTCCAGGGATGCAGAGTTTTGATTCCCGATCAGTCAGCAAGTTCCAGAACTCTCCTACACATTCGTCAGAGGACAATGATACCCATATCTGCCAGTCTTCTGGTCCAGCTCCATAGGTGAAATCCACGACGCGAAAGGTTGAACATCTGTCGTTTCTGCAGAAAACAGAATATTGGAAAGTCCAGCCTTCCGCGACCAAACGCTCATGTTCCCATTTGCCGTACTGCAGGAGGTCCTGACCGGCATTAGAGATCTCCGTTACCCAGTGGCGAAGCTTGTGCGTCAACCGTTGGGTGCTGAGATTTGCCCATGAGGGTTGGCGCTCCAGTGAATAGAAGCCTAGATAAGCCAACATTGGAGAGTGGACATCGTGTTCGATAGCAACACGGAGACCATCCAAGCCTACCGCCGCCTGGAATATTGTTCGCCAACCGCTGAAATCAGGGCATTCCAGTGAAAATATCCAGTGATCGGCCAACACTGCGGCGAGGATCACCACAAGAGAACCATATACAGGAGGAGCGTCCTCCTCAGAGATCTTCCTCACGAGACAGGCGGGATCGAGCTGGGATTGAGACAGGCAGAGCCAGAACCTGTCCGAATCCAGGCGAGGAGAGCATGCATCGTATGCAGCTTGAAGACGAGCAGACAGCTCCCGGGTGCTCCACGGGGGGGATACCAACTGGATAACATGTGACAATGCCTGAAAACTGCTGACACTGCTGAGATTCGAGATGGTCACCTCCGGGGAATTTGTCAAGTCGTCAAGCTCTGGCCCTTCGCAGATCGCCTGGATGGCCTCTAACTTGGTCCCAACTTCATACCTCAAAGAAAGATTTGTGAGGCAAGACAGACCGCTGTGTGGGTACCAATCAGTGGATACGGACGAAATTCCCTTTTGCAGACTTACTTGTCGTCCTTGTCATTAGGATCAAGACCTTGTTGCATTAGGAACCTTATTGTTCTAGCACCCTCAGATTCACAGGCAATCTAAGAGCATTAGCACAGACCTCGATTCAGAGCCACACTTGTCTATTCCTACATGAAGCAGCGTGTCCCCGCAAGGACTTCGATCGAGGATGGATGCCTGGCCCTTGTGGAAGAGGTTTTGGAGAGCGGCAATGTTGCCGTCGAATACGTATCGGAAGACCGGTTCGTTCCACGCTCGAACATTGTACGTCCGAAAGCCGTATGTCCATGCGCCGCACGCCTGTTGTTGGACAAACTCGAACGCTTTTCCGAGTAACCGACTCTGCAGAAGCAGTAGACGTCTAGTGCGGACGTTGACCCACCGCTGCTGGTGCCTCGGTTTCCACGAGCTGCTGTGAACAGCATCAGACGTGTCCCGTTGGACGGTATCACCGCTGTGACTTAGTAGAGCTTTAAAAGTGGAAGATATAGACGCTTGTCGAATATCCTGTACGATCGCAGACACACTTGCCGTGGAAGTCATAATCAGCGTATGTGTCTCCGAATGTTTCCGGATGTTCAGCAAGCTCATAGCACTGTCACACGATCAGTATACAGAGAGAAAGTAGTCTCCCGTTTGTACTACCCACTTCAAGACATTCATCTGGGCCAACATGAAATCGGCCTTGGCTCTTTCAACCACTTGGCGGGCTTTGTCCAGAGCATCCTCCTTGAGGACTGCTTTGACCGATCCGCGTATCCGAGAGCGTTTGATGGCTTTAGACAGCTCGTCGCAGATGGGCTTCAGGCTCTGGACCGCCTTCTCGCTTCGTTGTCGGCATTTCCGAACCACGTCCGGCGGAGCAAATGCGGACAGAGCGGCTTCCTGCTCTTTGAATGTCTCTAAGATCTCCTCGAGGGCCTCTAGCTCTTCCAACAGCTGTTTGAGGGTCTGGGGAGCGTGTCTAATCGACGAGTAGAGCTGTTTCGCCTCCAAGACGATTTTGGCGAACTCGAGAGTCGCGGCCACGACACCGATAGTCTCAGCCATAGTAAGGGGCTCGATATCTCGTGGCCGGCAAGACCGGAGACGTCTATAGTCGCACGCAGGTAGCTGTGATTCTTGAAGCGTGAGTTAGAAAGAGGAGCGCAGCACACTTGAGGCTGAGGCTGAGCTGGATGGCTCGTAAACCGTAGCCTGCGAAGGTGCATCAGGCAGTCCAATCATCGCCTGGTACGTGGTCTGTGGCAGGGCATTTCAGCTGGGCGCTCTTTGCATCATGGCACGGAGAGGCTCGAGGTTGGCGTCACATGCCGCGATGAGGCTGATAGCCCAGCGACAGACATTCTGCTTCGTCCGTAGTGGTCAGCGCTTCTGGACGCGAAGCCTGTTATAAAGCGAGAAAGTCGAGTGAGGTTCGGGCAGATCTGCGCAGACACCAGTCTTGATCAGCCGTGATTTGAGAGGCCAATATTAGCACAAAATGCTCTTGTGAAGCCACACTGAGGTCTATCTCAGGCAGACGCGCTCTCAAACTATCTATGGGCCTATCTCGGTCTGCGCCTTCCCTTTCCCAAGGTTCGAAAGGGAAGTGAAGGGGCGCCACAGCCGAAGCCTTCACTATTTCCCACGAAGTGACATCGGTTGAGACTCGTCCAGTCAGAGAATATGAGACGAGTAAGTCGTGGCGTACAAGCTGAGGTATCATATAGTGTGAGATCGGAGTCTACTGCAAATCTAACGAGGACAAGGCGCGAAGTGTCCGCCCGCAAAGACGAGGTATGGTCATGGTCCGAAGCGTGCGCGATGGCATTGACAAGACACAAAGTGAAGCAGTGTGAAGTCATATACCGTGCCCAAGTTCCCCAGTATGTGGGTATAGCGCCGTAACAATCAGTGACACAGCGAAGGATACAGTACTCCGTAGAGTAGCTCGTACGGGGAGGCAGACGGTCAAGAATGACGATCTCGACGCCGCCAAGGCCGAGCATCGGAGAAATTCGATCAGACCGACGAGATAAAACTACAACAAGGAGCGACCGTAACATTCATCTTCACTAAACAGCAAAATGGTCGCCTCCGGCCCACTGCACCAGGACAAGGATGACCGAACAAGACCGAGACCAAGCCCAAGAGCACACCCGCTCCGCCCTCATCCTGTACGGCACCGAGACGGGCACCTCGCAGGACTTGGCCGAAGAAGTCGGCCGCACCCTTGAGAGACTCCATTTCGAAACCACGGTCCTGGGCCTCGACGCCGTCCCCTACACCCACCTCCGCCTCTACAGCTTCACGGTCTTCGTCGTTGCAACCACAGGACAGGGCGATTTCCCTGGCAATGCCCGCCTCTTCTGGACCAGTCTGCTACGGAGGAAGCTAAGCCCCTCCACGCTACAGGATGTGCGGTATGCCCTCGTCGGGGTGGGCGACAGCTCGTACCCCAAGTTCAACTTCGCGGCGCGGAAGCTGGACAAGAGGCTCAGGCAGCTGGGGGGCGCGGAGATGCTTCCGCCGTGTGAAGCTGATGAGCAGGGCGACGAAGGTACCGAAGGGGCGTTCTTGGCGTGGTTAGCCCTGCTGCGGGAGGAGGTGTTGGCGATGTTCCCACTGGGGGAGGGACAGGAGCCTATCCCGGAGGATGTCGTGTTACCGGGAAAATGGCGGCTCGAGGTCGTGCCGCGGGACGGAGAGCGGGATGGCGGTCGCGCAGGGAGGACCACTTCTCCGGAGAGAGATGTGAACGCGAACGTGAACGTGAACGGGACCGCTTCCCATGCACACCACCCAGCGGAGGATTCCTTCCCCGTGGTGCTGGATGTCAACAGAAGAGTCACTCCGCCGGAACACTGGCAGGACGTGCGGTTCATGAGCCTTCGAACGTCACGCAAGATCGACTACCTCCCCGGCGACGCATTGGCCATTTCGCCCCGAAACGTGCCCTCGGACGTGGACGGCCTGATCGCACGCATGAACTGGCAGCACGTCGCCGACAAAAGTATTCGGCTAGTTCCCACGCGCTCGCACTCACCCAGTCTCGCGTCGACCCTACTGTCTGCGAACCCGATCTTCGCACGTGGGGATCTCACCCTCCGAACCCTCCTCACCGAGTATTTAGACATCAACGCCATCCCGCGCCGCTCTTTCCTGGGCAGTATCGCGCACCACACGTCCGACAGCATGCACCGGGACCGACTCCTCGAGTTCACGGACCCGCAGTATCTAGACGAATACTACGACTACGCAACGCGGCCGCGGCGCAGCATCCTGGAGATCCTGCAGGAGTTCGACAGCGTGCACATTCCCTGGGAGGAAGCCACGAACATATTCCCGCCCATGCGTCCCCGGCAATTCAGCATCGCGAGCGGCGGCCGCCTCAAGGTTGTGGAGAAGGACGAGGACGGGGACAAGGACGACGGAGTCACAAAGTTCGAACTACTGGTCGCCATCGTCAAGTACAAGACCGTGATCAAACGCGTGCGCGAGGGCGTGTGCTCGCGATACTTGGCCCAACTTCCCGTCGGGACAACACTGCACGTCTCTGTCAAGAGAGAAGGGCGCTTCTCCAAAGCAAGCGACCCGCCTCCTGCTGGCATGAGCCATATCTTGATCGGCGCGGGCACGGGCATCGCTCCGCTTCGAGCGCTCATCCACGAGAAAATCACTCAACAACAACGACAAAGGGGGAAAACGGTGCTTTTTTTCGGCTGTCGCAATGAGACGGCAGACTACTTCTTCCGCGATGAGTGGGCCGCAATATCCAGCGAGCATCCCGATGCCCTAGAGGTAATTCCCGCCTTTTCAAGGGACCAGAAATCAAAGGTGTACGTGCAAGATCGGCTTCGGCAGAGAAGTGATATCATCGCGGAATACCTGATGGAGAGGAATGCCACCATCATCGTCTGCGGATCGTCTGGTCAGATGCCCAAGGCCGTGAGACAGGCACTGGTCGATGCATTAGTAGAACACGCGCAGAAGAGTCACGAGCATAGAGCCCTCATTTCGAATACGGAAGACGCCAACGTATATCTAGCAAGGCTCGAAAAGGAGAACAGGTACAAGCAAGAGACCTGGTCGTAGACGAAATTGTATACCTATTTCAAAATCTGTAACCCGCGTCCATGCTTGACAATTTTGCTACAATGTAAAGCGCGAGCAACCAGCTCCAGCATGTGGCTCCTCATATTCTCTGGGGGCTACTCGCGAAGATCCTCGGATCGGTCTGTGGTCCGGCCCATTCTCCTGTTTCTTGGCCTTGGCGCTGTTCTTACGGAGTACTCCTCTTCCTGTTCTTTCCTCTCCTCGGCGCGTCACAAGAAGGGTCCTCGAAGGCGTCGTAGGAGACTCCTCCAGGAAATACCCTCATCGTCCAATATGGTGAAACGGGTCTCTTGCACGATTGGCAGTCGCGGCAGACGTGGAGAAGGCGTTGATGCCATGTTAGTAGTAGTGATTGCAGGCGTAGGAGTGGGTGAAGTGACGGAAGGGCGAGGTCGAGGCGCAGAATCACTCGCATTATATAGTCATCCCTGAGGACGTGAAATGGGTCTTGAATCTCGGGCACAAGCTCCAGCCTGATGGATCAGGCACCTAAGTGGATTGCCTTTGATATTGGAAGTTTCCGAATCCACCAGGGGTCATAGCTCCCATAAGGTTCTGAGAAGGAACGGGTGTATGTGACGAGGGCCCTCCGCCCCCCTGTCCTCCTGACATGCCGATGTTGCCAGTCTGCGGTGTGGTTGGTGTCCCGTTTTGATTGTAAAACGTGGCTCCGTTCATGTGAGGCGTGCTGAAGTCGCGAGATGATCCTTGCCCTCCTGCGCCCGTAGTGGTTACAGGCATCTGTGCGTTCAAACCCCATACCTGTGATCGATATTTGTCCTCTTCGATGGTCCCACTGAAGATCTTCTCCCGCATCTTAAAGTACACCTGACCGGTGAGCAGCGAGTCAGAGCCCGCTTGATGTGCCTGTCCGATCCGCGCTACACCCAATTCTTCGGCAATATCTTGAAGACCTGACTTGGTCATGGTGCGCTGCACCATCATGGCTGCCTCCTGAGTCAAAGGTTGTCCACTGTTGATTTGTCCTTTTGCACCAGCGTGCTTGAGAATGAACTTGATATCGAAGAGTGCAGGGAAGAATTTCTCGATCAGTGTGTGAAACTGCGCCTCGTCTGCAGGGAGAGGTTGGCAGATCATGAGCTTTATTAAGTAGCCAAAGTCGTAGCCGGAGTGGAAACTGATCCAGCGAACATCGGCATCCATGACCAAGCCTGAGCTGATCAATAGAGAAGCAAACGCATTGGGTTCGATGCCGTGTTTAGAGTGTTTGTCAAAGTCGATCCCGGCCTTGATGAGCATTTGCGTCGACTCGCGCGCATACATATCTGTTTCGAGAGAGAACTTGAAGTTGAACTGCCATGTGCACGGGGTAGGTTGGAGAGTTGGGTGAAATTGAGATCTCTGGGAAGACTCGGCGTCCGGTGGAGGGAGTGTTCCGTCTGGCTTGAAAAGAGTAATTCCAAGCTGAATCACTTTCAGCAAATCGACATTGCATCGTAGAGTCTGGTAGTGGTAGTCTGCCTTTGTGGTGAACTGGCCGATGGGTCGAGCGACGATTCCGGGAAACTCAGTATCCTAATAGAGTTCGGTCAGGCTTGTAATACTAACAGGATAGGTGACCTTTCTTACCATGGCGATATAAGGGTACGTGTCGACCAGCCGTCTAAGCGTGTCCATCTCTTCCCTGAGGTTGTGCTTCCAGACGTTGCGGATTCTGGCGTCGTCCTTGCCGTCCAGAGGATTGCTAAGGCCGTCGAATGTTTGGTGACCTTGGACGGGACCTCCTCTTGTGAAACCCATCTGAGGAATCTGACCTGGAAGTAGGCTTCCATCAAGCATAGTCCGGTCAAAGCCATTATTCAGGTTGCCAGTCATGGCAAAAGGACTTGCGCTGGAGGAGCCCCCGGCACCGAAGGACGAAGTGCCGAGGTGAGTTGGGGGTGGGAGAGCACCATGCTGATGTGCTGAGGGATGAGACTGAAGATGACTCTGTTGCATATGATAAGGCCCGTTAATGGATTGGTTACCATAGCGTGGAGGCGCCATGAGAGCGACTGCGCAGTGCAGTGTCGCAGGCCAGGCAATTGTCGTGAGTCTCGAGATGAAACAGAAACCAAGGGCAAATCAGACGTGGTTCATAGCAAGGGTTTGAGATCCATGGTGTGTGAGGTGTTTCTTCTTGCGCGATCACTGCCTAGTCCATGTTGTCACTGCGGTGAGGTTGTGGTCTGCTTTGTGAAAGTCGCGGTCGAGATCACGGTGCAAATGAAAGTGCACTCAGGACAAACTGAATGCGGGGACACCTCGATCTCGACAAATGCATGACCGTAGTAAGCTGCACCAGAGTACGGCGGAGTACGGCAGCGCACTACTCGTACACTAGTACCGTTCGAAGCTCGTTGCAGTCATTGAAGACATTCATCACGGTGACCCTCCTCGTCCGCCTCGAAACAACACCCTCACCTAATTTCTCCGCAAATCCTTTGGGTCAAGAAGCTTGACACAGTTCTCGCCGCTCCTCTCGCCTCGTCGGAGCGACTCGCCGTGGATTGTCACCGACCATGGCACCTCCAAACAACCCGACAGGGTTCAGCATGAAGACCTTCACGGACGCAGCAACAAGCACACAATGGCGGGCAAAAGACCCATGGAAGAGAAAGTAAGGATGAATGCACATACCGGCATCTCGTGTGTGCTGACGGCTTTCTAGCGAGGCATGGCGATATACAGGCCCGTTTACCAGAGGGAATCGCATGAAGGGAGCTTTCCCAGGATTCGGAATTGCCGTTGTCGCATTTACAGGCTATGTCATCGTTGAACAATTATTTTTCGCAAAGGACCACCACGCCCACGAACATGACGAGAGCGCAGGGCATCACAAGGCGCTCTAGAAGCAGGAGAAGAGCATCGCACAATCTTTCCGCTCACGACCAAGTGCTGGAGTGGGCTCAAAAGATCACAGACAAGAACTGCCATGCACGCATGGTGTTGTACATATGCACGGGATGAGGTGTTGGAATGCAAACAAGCTGCCACCCGCAGAGGTACAGAAGACCATCTCAACACGGCGTTGTCTCTAAGGCCTACTTTTGCTGCAGAGAGGATTTGTCCAACTGAGCAACATTCAGCCTTGCGAGCTATGCACATAGCCTCGCATCTTTGGAAGCTTCATCGAGGACATAGGGTTTCTGCTCGGGCGGTGATGGGGTCGTTGCTGCCGACACGCGCCAACAACTTTCGAGCCTCTTCTTGTTTCTCACGTCGGGTTCTTATCACGTCCCTCGGCCCTACAACGGAAATCCGCAAGTAGTTTGCTTGCAATATTCCTGCTGATAGAGAACGTTTAATGTGCTCGTGGTCGCCTTCCCTTCTCGACGTGCGACCGCGGAGGACGCGCTAAACCACAAATGGCCAAGTAGTCCAGGCCAGTCAGAAACGGCGGATGGATTGAGATGCGGAAAAGAGGAAAGCGACCACGATCCTGACGAGTAGGACTCGGCCTGCGAGACCCTTATCATGCTTATCGATTTGTTATACAATGGAAAAGCACCTCCTAGACGCTGTGCCCGAGCTGCTGGTGCCGGCTAGAAGCATTCTGGGGAAGATGGTGAGGAGACGAAATTCGCGGCCAGTCGACATATATTTATGGTGAGCGTCCTCTCTGTCCATCTTCTGACTGTCGCACAGCTCCGCGTCTCATACAGTCACTCACCCAAGACTAGACACCATGGTTCTCGAGCGTGTAAAGCAGCTGGCCCACCAGGTGTCCAACACCGTTGCGCCTCCTCACCCTTTCGATCCGCTTACTGCACTCGAGATCGAGACAGCCGTCTCCATCCTTCGATCGCAATACGGGAAGCTATACTACAATGCCGTCACATTGTTCGAGCCTCCCAAGGCTCAAATGCTGAAGTGGCTAGCCGACCCTGATCATACTCCCAGACCAAGCCGTATCGCTGACATTGTCGTCATCACGACCGACGGCAAGGTCTACGACGGCCATGTCGACCTCTCGGAGCGCAAAGTCATCAAATGGGAGCATACTCCTAATGTGCAACCTCTCATCACCATGGAGGATCTCCAGATCGTCGAACACGTCGTTCGCAAGGACCCCGGCGTCATCGAGCAATGTGGTCTGATTGGCATTCCTCCCCAGGATATGCACAAGGTCTACTGTGACCCCTGGACAATTGGCTACGACGAGAGATTCGGCAACGGCGTCAGACTCCAGCAAGCACTGATGTACTACCGCCCTGATGTCGACGACTCGCAGTACAGCTACCCCCTGGACTTCTGCCCAATCTACGACTCCAACCTGCAGAAGATCATCCATATCGACGTCCCCAAGGTTCGCCGACCGATCAACAAGGCCCCACCAAACAACTACACCATTAAATCGATCGAAGAAACCGGCGGCTACAGGACCGATCTGAAACCCATCAACATCACGCAACCTGAGGGCGTGTCTTTCACGATGAAGAACCGCATTATCGAGTGGCAAAATTGGTCCGTCCACATTGGCTTTAACTACCGCGAAGGTATCGTCCTCAACAACATCACCTACTTCGACAAAGCCGAGAACAAGGTCCGACCCATCTTCTACCGCCTATCACTTGCCGAAATGGTGGTCCCGTACGGGAACCCCGAGCACCCACACCAGCGGAAACACGCCTTTGATCTGGGCGAATATGGCGGTGGCTACATGACCAACTCGCTCAGTCTAGGCTGCGACTGCAAAGGCAGCATCCACTACCTGGACTTCGACTTCGTGAACAGAGCCGGCGCCGCCCAGACGATCAAGAATGCCATCTGCATCCACGAGGAGGACAACGGCATCCTCTTTAAACACACTGACTTCCGCGACGACTCGGTCATCGTCACCCGCGCCCGCAAGCTCATCATCAGCCATATCTTCACGGCCGCCAACTACGAGTACTGCGTGTACTGGATCTTCCACCAAGATGGCACCGTGCAGCTCGAGATCAAACTCACGGGCATCCTGAACACATACGCCATGAACCCGGGCGAGGATACCAAAGGCTGGGGCACCGAAGTCTACCCCGGCGTCAACGCGCACAACCACCAACATCTGTTTTGTCTGCGTGTGGACCCCAACATCGACGGGCCGAAGAACACCGTCTTCCAAGTCGACGCCGCTCAAGGCCCCGGCGAACCGGGCAGCTCCGAGAACTTCTACGGCAACGCCTTCTTCGCCAAGAAAACGAAATACACGAACCCCGTCGAGGCCATGGCCGACTACGACGGCGCATCCTCCAGGACGTGGGATCTCGCCAATGAGAACAAAATCAACCCCTATTCGAAGAAACCCGTCTCGTACAAACTGGTGTCGAGGGAAGTTCCACCTCTGCTCCCCAAGGAAGGCTCCCTGGTGTGGAAGCGCGCCGGTTTTGCGCGCCACGCCGTCCACGTGACGCCCTGTACGTATAGCCCTCGATTCCGTTCCCGTCTGCATTATATTTCCCTTCTCTTCTACTATTCTGCACATTCACGAACTGACAAACCCGCTTTTAATCACAGACGCCGACTCCCAAATGCATCCGGCAGGAAGACACGTGCCTCAGACGTCCGGCGAGCCGTCCATGGGCCTCCCGCAATGGATCGCGGCCAACCCCAACGCCAAGATCGACAACGAGGACATCGTGCTCTGGCACACCTTTGGGCTCACCCACTTCCCCGCCCCGGAGGACTTCCCCGTCATGCCTGCCGAGCCGATGACCGTGTTGTTGAGGCCGCGGAACTTCTTCGTCCGAAACCCCGCGCTAGACGTGCCACCTAGCTATGCCCGGACGCCGAGCCAAGTGGCGGCAGGCAAAGCTGGAGGCAGTTGCCACGCCGACAAGACGAGCACGCTCGTTTGAATGGCGTGCATGGATGCTCTAAGGGGGTTTCGGGACTGCTGGGCGGATTTCATCCTTGATCTGATATGAGAGGATGTTGGGCCCTTGGAAATTTGGCCTTGGTATGCAATATGGCATGATCATGTACTTCCATAGCTCGCTGGACAGTGTCTGTCCATCCATATATTAGTGTTTAGTGGGCATGGAGTACAGCCCGCAGGAAAAAGCACAGCGTTTAAATTTTGCAATATTCACGTGGTCCAGAGTGGAAGTACCTTGATCTCTAGATGCTGTACGGCATGGAATTGTATTTATCCGTGCTGTTGTCTATCCCTGTCTTGCTTCCGTTGCTGGTGATCCAGCCAGCGAGACGACACAGAGCGTCCGGCCCCGGGGGATTGTACTGTATCCACAATAATACTTGCGGGTCTCTCTCTCTTTTTGATAGACGAGTATCTCATCGTATGTAATGCGCCAACCAGCACCGCACGACTCCACGGAGAATGTGAGCGTCATTTCTGAGACGATTTCCTCCAATGCTTGACTTCCTGACCAATTCACAGCGTCAAGGTCCATAGATGCCAACTCGACCTCCAATGTCCGTCGACGTTGCGCGGACGTTTCGTTACAGAACGGGTGCCCTCGAGTTTCAATTCTTGCTGTGGCCTGATCGCTGGCACATGTCGGCTGGCAAGAAAGTCTCGGGCTTGACGGGAGTTGGATTTTCGAGTCGTTGTATCCCAGCACTGGACAAGGTAGGAAGGGTATCCTTCACCCGGAACAGTCTGCCGGTCGAACAGAGGCATTTGCCTCACTGAGCGGTGTATGCTCGGCAGAGAGTTTACCTTGCGCTGTACTTTCTTTCCTCGTTGAATGCTTGTCAGAGATCTACCTTGCGCTGTACCTTCTTTCCCCCAGGTAACGCATGGGTATCCGGTTTCCTGGATCTAGTCCTCAACTGCCCAAATACTTCCTCCATCCGTCGCGCCAGATACTTCTTTGACCCTCCTCCGTCACTCCGGGTCGTTCGCCGATTCTGAATCTTTCCCATCTCGCGTCCCTGCCGGTGCCTACACAGATCAGTGTGGAGTTGTCGATCCAGCCTAGAATGCCCTTTTGTGGCCGACTCGGCAACGAGCCCAGCGCGGGCAGATATGATAGGGTAGAGTTGTTGAGTCCACCGCTTTCATCACCCATTTCGAAATGCGCCGAAGCGAAGGAGTAAATGTCCGAGAAAACACGGGGAAGGAGAGGGATCTTGGAGAGGAAACCCCATTTCTGGTTCGTGGGCGTTTCTTCTTCGTTGTTGGTGTTTGCGACCTGCGGCGATTGAGAGCGGCGACGTTGTGACGAGGGACTCAGTGGGCTGGTCGGTTGGGCCTGTGAGGAAGAAGTGGCTGGAAGGTCGAAGACATGTAAGGTTGACTTGTCGGATGTGACGCCTAGCATGCTACTGTTGGGCGAGATGGCAATGCTGAAGACGTATGCTGGGTCGACGCCACGACGCAGTTCTGCAATCTTGGTGCAATTTGCGGTTGAGAAGACGCGGATCAGTGTGCCTGTTTCGCTTGCTGTAGCCAGTAACTGGCCGTCGCTGCTGAGGTCCATGGCTCGTAGAGCGGAGGTGTGTGCTGGGATGATGCTCACGTTACCGGACACCAGCTCAACGAGTTGCACTTTACCAGGTGAACGGCCGGGGAAGGCGACGATTCTGCTACCCAGACAGCATAGGCCCAGCGGATTGTCTGCGGTTTCGAAGCTCGCTGACCTCTCCGGTGGAGATGAGAATTTGTAGAGGTGGATGCTGTTTTGGATTGCAATTGCGATCCAGGATTTCGTGAGACGGACTCGCAGGACGGCGGTCTTTTGTTCGAGGGTGATGGCGACCTTCTGTTTGGCATCGTCCCATATCATCACCTGGCCGTCTGCATCAGTGTCCTGCTCTTCGTCTCTCACGTTTTGGCTATACCTTTGTCTGGGGCCACCTTGGATTCTTGCCTCCTCCTACCAGTGCCAGATAGTTGTACCGCCCGAGCATCTCAGCCGTTCCGATACCAGCGTTAAGGTCTGTGTCCGTCTTAGAATCTCGACTTCGCATGGATCCCTGTGGGGATGGTACCTCTCGATGCTTTGAGCTCGCATGGATCGGAGTTGAACACTGGATCAGCCATCAATACTTGAGAAGATCCCTACACACATTCGCTGGAATGTTCACTCTTGACCTACCACAGAAGCCTGTGTTGAGGCCGACGGCAAAACAGCTTGCGTCGCTGTTGAACGATGCCGAAAGAGCGACGGGTCCAGAGGACTCATCGATGACCGGGCGGGTATTCATCTTGTAGCTCGGTCTGTGGCCTCGGAGGCGATATGCTCATATTGCTAAGGATGACCGAGACACATCTCCGGTTCAAGTCAAGTCGAAATGCAATTCACACAATAGTCGCATGTCGTCGTCTGTGCCAAAGATGACGCAGAGCGTCGCCTGGAATCAACAGAAACCAAGCTAGGCACTAGTTATTAAGCGGGGATTAGGGGCGGATTAGGGCCTAAGCAGCCAACGTCCGGCTGTTTAGGCTTGGCGCTGTCGCGCCTAAAGTTTACTTTACAACCGCACCAAACAGCTTGCGCCGCCTATCGAGCTCCCACACTCCACTGGCAGGTGGGCAGAATTTCCATGCTGATTGCATGACCACTCAGCCGGCGACAGGCAACACGCGCCAATTGTCTGCTGCTTGTGGTGGCTGTGCCGTCCGAAACCATCCAGCATCACAGCATTCTTGCTCCAGATTTGAAAGATGTCATAACTTGCCCACGCGACACCTGGGTGACACCAGTGGCTGGTGATCAAATACCCCCAAGATTCTCCTTCATCCTCCTCCCGTACTACCATCACAGTGGCTGGCAACGTGTTATCCAACATGAGGTGACCCTAACTCAATCCTGAACGGACAGATATTCTGCCAAGCCAACCATGAGCTCGAAAGCGAGCGAAGAGAGCTATCTTTCCCCAAAGCCATGGAAATCCGGAGACCCTTGGGGCTCGGGTACAAAGCTGCCAGGTGCTTATCCGCCATCTCCTGATGTACGGTCCCAGGAAGCCAGTCATTCCGGGCCTCAGTCGCTGTCGGCTGCCGTCAAGGCGCGCAAGTCAGAGTACATCCGAAAGAAGTCTATGAAAATCAAGATTGGCACCTGGAACGTTGCCGCAATTAATGGCACGGAGAAGGACTTGGGGGCGTGGTTCGTACGTGGACACGGCATCAGCGGGCTTTCCCAAGACTTATCGGGACTCTCGACCACGGAGGGTAACGACAGTGATGATTCCGACGACACTGACAACGATAATGTCGAGTCTGTCGAGTCGCAAGAAGCGCGGGTTGCGAGAACGAGGAAATCAATCACTGTACCACTGAACGACACCCCGGCGGAGGCCCACCATGAGCAGATCGACCTCTATGTTCTCGGCCTGCAAGAGGTCATCGATGTCACCTCCATGACCGAGGCCATCAAACCCTACACCGATCCGAACCCAGCTAAGAAATGGAAGAAGTCTTTGAGGCGTGCGCTACCTAAAGGTTACAAGAAGATTGCAAACGAACAGCTTTTTGGCCTGCTCATCCTCATTTTTGCTTCTCCAGAGCTCGCCCCAGCCATTAGCTCGGTCAGCACGACCTCAGTCGGAACTGGTCTGATGGGCTATTTCGGTAACAAAGGTGCTGTCGCGGTCAGGATTGTGGTCGGAGAGACGACACGAATGTGCTTCGTTAATTGTCATCTGGCTGCTGGAGCAGATGAAGCCGCGTTAGCCCGTCGAGTTTGGGATACGAACCAGATCATCACCAGGACACGTTTTTCTCCAGTCACGGATGGCGAAGTGGTCGAAGCTGGAGAAGAGAAAATCGGGGACGAAGATTTCGCTTTCTGGTTTGGCGATCTCAACTATCGTCTAGACGACATCCCGGGTCAGGATGTCAGGAGATTGTTGCTTCTTCATACTCAGAACGAGTACGACGTCCAGAACAAATCCAAGCGCAAGATTGATAGTGAGCTAGGATACTTATCACCTGCATCGAATGACTGGCTCCCGGCTCCACATCCCCGCTACGAGTATAAAGACGTCGAAAGGCCTGCGTCTGATAGCACGGCCGAACCACCCCTAGATCCGAAGAACGACCCTGCTTCGCTTCAAACCACTATCCATTCTCTCCTCGCACATGACCAACTGCGCGCACAGCAAAGGCTGGGGAAGGCATTTCATGAAGGATGGCGAGAGGGAGACATAGAATTTTTGCCCACGTACAAATATGATATTGGCAGCGTTGGCATGTTCGACTCCGGCGAGAAAAAGAGAAGCCCCAGCTGGTGCGACAGGATACTGTACAGGACTCGCCGAGACCTAGAGACATACAAGGACAAAGCCAAGCGGCGAGAGGAAGCTCGCAAAAAGGACGAAGCCATGAAAGCTAGCGGGATCGACCAGGCTGCCGCTGAGCACGAGGTAATGTTCGACTATGATCCTGAGACAGACGGAATGGCCTATGGCGATGACTGCGACGATTACGACGAGACTCAGGATGGCCTTCACGACGCAGAGCTCGTACAGTCACATGAAGATTATGGAGACATGATCGAACTCAACAGTTACCTCTCGCACCAAAGAATACTCTCATCGGACCACAAGCCGCTGAACGCCGTTTTCACGCTCATGTACGACGCCGTCATCCCAGAGCTGAAAGCGAAGGTGCAGCAGGAGGTTGCCAAACAGCTGGACAAGGCAGAAAATGAAGGTCGGCCATCAATAACATTGGTAGTCGATAGCCACTTCGAGAGTCAAATACCGAACGCTGACGGTGCGGCAGACATGAATGTCGTCCATTTCGGCGAAGTCCGCTACGGTGTCAAGAAGAGCAGGTCCGTTACCATTGCCAATACCGGACAGGTCACCACCAGCTTTTCTTTTGTAGACAAACCTGTCGACTCGGGAGAAGGCGCTCGCGTGGCGCCAAAATGGTTGGAGCTCAGCGTGGATTCTGGCTCCATCTATTCGTCGGCAAATATGGAGCACAAGGGCAGCTTCGAGACAGTTTTGTCACCAGGTGAAACCACAATAATCGAATTGTCTGTTAACATTACGGACAGCGAGCTGGTACATGATCTCAACGATGGTAAAACAGAACTGGAGGATATTCTCGTCCTGAGAGTCGAAAGCGGAAGGGACCACTTCATCCCCGTCAAAGGCCTGTGGCTACCATCCGCATTTTCTCGCACGCTGGATGAGTTGGTGCTAGCACCAGAAGGTGGTGTTCGACAATGGATCCGCTCTTCCAACAACAAAGCAACAGAATCGATTTCATACTCTTCGGCAAAGGTCCACCATTCCGCCCCAAAGGAGCTCTACACTCTTACTGAGATCATCCCAATCTACATTGAACGGTCTATCGCAGAATGGGGCATGCTTCACGAAGGAGAAACGCCTCCTTGGCAGTATGAGATAGGAGGTGCTTCATGGCCTTTCAGTCGAGAGACATGGACGTTCCACGAAGGCGAAGAAAGGTCGGAACTCATCGCCGGGGTCAGAGAAGCGTTGGATACAGCAAGCCGCCTTGATGGCAACTTCGATCCGGACGTGCCGGCCATTGTGCGTCTGGAAGTTCTCGCCGAAACACTGACCTCGTTTCTCTTGTCTCTAAGAGAAGGTATAGTGCCCGCCAGTACATGGGCGGAGATTGAGAAGCACCTCGCCACAACCGAAAAGGCCAAGTCGCAACCTACTGCGCAAGAAATCCAGGATATGGTCATGGACGCTCTGTCCCCAGACCCGGTGCATAGTGTCTCGCTGACTTTCATCACCTTCCTCCTGACAACGACGGTCAATGAGATGATGACCAGTGGTACTTCTGCTCCGACATCAGCGACGGCAACGACGCCTACTTCGATGAGCAGAAAGTCCTCCAGACGGTCAAGAGCTTCGACGCTTTCAAGCGACTCAGGGCCTCCGGCGTCGATATCATCGCAAGAAGCACCGAGCAAGAGAAGTCTGTTCCCGGCATTGCGTCGTCGCCGCACGCGCAGTATCTCATCGGCATCTGCCACAGCTGAGACGGGTGGCGAGGCGGCAGGTACCATCACCGAGCGAAGGACAAAACTGGTCAGTGCATATGTCGAGGTTTTTGCACCCCTCGTCTTCCGAGCCCAGAGTGAGTCGAAGCTGAAAGACAAAGACAAGAAGGCGCTGGATGCACGGAAGAAGCGCATCCTCGAGGCATTTTTGAGTGAGAGACAGCTCTGAGAACCCTGGGCCTCTCGTTTGAATAGACAAATTCCTACCTGTCACCTTTTCCCCGTGCACTAACTCTGACCACGCGTTTCTTGGTGTGATTCTGGACTGTCCTCTCTGCGTTCCCAAACACCTTAACCCTCCCACTGATCCTTCTTAAGATCCAATGCGCCTCTTCCAGAGCTCCGTCTTCTCATTTGTCGACTCTATGTGCTGACTGGCGCCTGTAATGAACCCCGATGAGAGCCGGTCAGTCACAGAAGACTCAAAAGGGGTGGCAGAACAGCGGCGAACACAACATCTCCAACTAGGTGGATGATGGAAGCAAGCTACTGACTCGAATAGAGAACCCTGGTTCCTGATTGTTAAGTCACTTTCTGGATTGCAATATAAATGATCGTTATTGACGGGAGGAGGTTGGGGAAGCGGTGAAGTGTCGTTCTTGAGGTTGCCCGTCCCTGCATCCTGACGGTCATGTTGGTGATGGGTGTTGGGGTGCGGCAGGCAATCAATACTCTCTCCACCGCACGGGCGTAAGCAAGATTGAGGACATAGCGCCGTCCGTTGATGAGATACACCAGCCCGTACAACCGTGTAGGCCACGTTTTTGAGAGAGGTGTCTGAGCAACAAACATGCCTGGCGTGCAATGAATTTATGAGATGCACACCTCGTCAGCTTCCTATGACATCATGTCTTGGCAATGGTTGTCCGCTGTCTATGTACTCATTTTCGAGTCGTCGCCCTCCATCCACAACACAGTTGGTTGTGCGCGGAGGGTACGAGTCGGTGAAAATGATGTCTGCGTACTCATGCCAGTCGATGCGTGTAAAATACTTCGGAAGAATCGGACATATTCCCAATTTTCGGGGTACCATCCGGCGCATTCCCAGTCGAGCAAACTCACGATACGACCATCTCGGACGAGGATGTTGCGCAGACTGAGATCCCCATGAGTGAAACAATCCTGTGATTGTCGGACATGAGCCCAGCCAGCATGGAATGGGATATTTTGGGAGTCTTCGAGACGGCATTTTGTTGCAGAAATTTGTTGAAGTCGGCTTCACTGGAGAACGGCCCGCCTCGTTCAGTCTCCCTCCGCATATCTACCGCTGGCCCCTCTTCAATACCGCCGATATACCGGCCTTCTAAAGATCGTAACTGTTCCAATATTGCATTCATTTGTTGGGCGAAGCTTTTCTTCTCTTCCACGGAAAGCGCCAGCCAGGACTCTTGCAATGTCTTCCCTGAGATATATTCCATCTCAATGACGGTTGTTCCATCCTCAAATGTGTCTGCCCGAAAGACCTTTGGGACAGGCACAGAATGGGTGGATTTGGCGACAAAAGACATGGCCTTCGCCCCGTTGATGTCCACATCTGGCCAAACTTGATGAATCTGCCATTTGCTCGAAATGCTTTGCGCAGGGTCAAGTCTAGCAGAATGGCAGAAGGATCAGCTCGAGCTGCCTCGAACAAAACATGAAGGGCCTTTGTTTCAGGAGATCGTTTAACACTTGTCATCTCTTGGCTGTCCTCAAATGTAACTTGGGGTGAGCCTTTGTAAGCGAAATGGGGTGGGACGGGATGGTAGGGAGTACGAGGTACGAGCACTCAACGAGGACGTGGTTCTAAAGCGGCATCATATGGGATTGCGCTGCCCAGGTGACTTGGGCGTGAACATTGAAGAAAACATCTGCGACGATCTGTCTACCTACCTACCTAATAGGTACCTAGGTACTCCGTACTCTCACACTCTGCACTCCCATTCTCCACAACTACAGGTATCCTGCTTAATCTATTGGTCTGGATACAACCAGTTAGGTGCCAGTTCCATTGTTGCATCTGACATCAATTGTTGGTTGCATGCTCGACCGAGACCGTCTCACCTACTACTCGATGAAGTTACCATTCTTCTCCTTGCATGGCGAATGGCTCTGTACATCCAGACAATGCCACTGTTCGGAAGCCCACATACTGGGTCCGAATCTGTCCGATTGCTGACAGCCGCAGAGAACTAACCTGGATGCATGGCGATGCATCAAGGGACGAATGCAAGCGAGGACGTTGCCGTCCCACATAAACCAAGCTCTGACTGTGCGAGCCTGCAAGTATCTGTACAGTCTGTCGCGTCTCGAGCCTCCATGAGAGTAAGCCACGGCCGTAACCGTCTAATTTCCTGGTGAGGGGGGCCTTCCAAGCGGTTCTTGTCCTTGTTTTGGCAGGTCCATATGCACGGGTTGTGGGAATCGCGATTCGATTCAAAGCATTCGAAGCCAGCTTTTGCTAAAGAGTGTAAGGCTCGCGGGTGCTTGTATTTTCCTTCTTCGGCACCTTCACCTCTTTCTAAACCATATAAGATCAGAGCCTGACACAGCCGTCATTGGCATCCACACAGTGCTTCGGCAAAGCATAGCACAGCAGTCATGTCGACCGTATCTTCCCTTCTCACGCCAGGCGAACATGAAGTCAAACTCAACGACCTCTCCATCCACTACACCGTTCAAGGCTCCGGGCCAGTGCTTTTATTCGTCACCCCGGGCTGGGGCATCAACCGTAGCATCTATGCAACCACACACCAGCCTCTCGAAGAGCACTTCACCGTCATCTACCTCTCGCCGCGAGGCTGCGACGGCTCCGAGCGCCCCGCCTCCGCCTCCCTTATGCTCTCCCGGTATACTGCGTGCGACATTGACGAGTTCCGTAAACAGCTCGGCATAGATCAGTTGAGTGTGATTGGCCACTCCGATGGCGGCGTCCTCGCCCTCGCTTATGCCATGTACTACCCTTTGAATGTTCGGCGGCTCGTTCCCATCTGCACGAATCTGCTCGGCTACCAACGCAAGGACACGTCGTTTTTCACCAAGTTCGAGGCCATGTTCGAGGCTGCGAGCCCTCAGGACGACGACGCGTTCAGGGAGTTCATGCTCACCGCGTTTCACTTGTATTTTTACAAGCCGGAGCCATATGTGCCCAAGCTAAAGGACGTGTGGACGGGGAAGCCGAGTCTCTGGGCGCAGAGGGCGCGGTATGAGAGTGAAGCGGAGGACGGCTGGATCATGGAGAAGGATCTGGGCAAGATTAAAGCCAAGACGTTGGTGATTACGGGGAGGCAGGATACATGTTGTGGGCCGGAGGTCAGTGAGACTGTTGCGAGAGGAGTGAAGGGCAGTACGCTTCTCTTGTTCGACGAGTGTGGGCACTTGCCATGGTTGGAAGCGAGAGAGGAGTACTTTGATGTGTTGGTCAAGTTTTTGAAGGAGTAATTGTTGTAGTGAAAGACGGTCTCATCCTTTGCACGGGTATTGATTCTGGTGCAATGTTTCGTCTGATCAAACCATTTCTGTCATGACGAGCGAGTCTCCCAGTCGAACCGAGCAAAGCCTTGCGGGACTTTGTCCTCAAGGCGGGCTGGAAGGATCGTCTGCGTTTGGGGGCGACCAGCAGGGGGAGGCCAGTCAATGGCGATGGCGATAATGTGATCCACGAGTCTCGTTCTTTGCCGTTGATCATTCGTACCTGGCTCAAATGTCTGCAATTCTTATGCTCTGGTTCTTTTCGGCCAAAATCAATCTGCCCACAGGTTTGTCTGACGGGCTCACCAGGCGCCTTGAAAGCTCATCTGTCCACATCGAGGTTTCGAGTCATGGCTGTTTATGCCAGCATTTCTTGAGGAAGAGCTTAGCGTCCACCTGTGCTCTTCCGCAGCACGCAGTACTCAGCTTGTAGAACCCACCGAGCGAATGCGGTTCCTGGTGCTCCGCGCCCAAATTCTCACCACTTCCCAGCCGTGTTGCTGCCCCATCAACCGGCTCTTCATTAGCTGTCAGTCTAAACTCACTGCATCCATATGTCACTCAACATCTTTTTCAGTATTCATTCCCATCTTATTATTTCCTCGCTTCAAAATTTCTCGAATACCCCGGGATGCTCCAAGCGAATTTGCACTACCTGTGCGATAACCGCAAAGTGGCAAGTGTCGCCAGATCCTCATGATGGAGGCCTGAGAGCATATTCAAGAGTTGGAAACGGATGGACAACACAGCAACGACGACAAGGGTCTTTAGCGAACCTGCGTGTGTGCTGGATGAAGATCCAATGACCAGGGGACCGGCTGCGCTCTGCTGTCGGTCTAGGCCACGGCCGCTGCAGCACGTTCTGCAGCTGCTACTGTCGCCAACCAGTCACGCCTCCACCTCGCGAGCCTCATTTCGTGCGCCCTGCCCTGCGTGTCTGTGTACGCGATGAGTCCTGTCATGGTGGCAGGTCTCTTCCCAACGCTGCTGCGAACTTCCATTTTCCAAAAAGCTCAAGCCTCTGTCTTGTCACCGACTTTGAAGATGCCAAATATTCCTTGATATGATAATATAACCTGAAGTAAGTAAGGCTGGACCCTGTTGATCCCATGCTCAACAGCGTGCATATTTGGCCCCTTCAAGGCTAGGCAACTGCAGTACTTAGACGGCACCTTGTCGCTCACCGACACTTTGATGGACACCGCGGATCCAGGTTAACCTTCAGTACAGGTCTAATGGATCACCTACCCATCCCAGTCGACAGACAAAGGCCTTCGCGTCGGGTGGTGGCCTTTGCTTACTTCGACATCCCGTTCCTTGGTGAAGTTGGCGAGGCTGGCGGAGACTTCTACACCTACGCTGTTGCTCACAAGATCGTGAATAATGATAGTGATCATTCTCTGAACTTGGATGAGCTGGAGGACCTGGAAGATGTTGACCTGTACTTTGCAAGAGTACAGTCATGGCTTTACTTTGGCCTCGTTTGTGACACATTCGGTTCGTCGGTGAAGTTCGAAGACTTCATCGTTGTCAATGCTTCAACGGGAGACCGGATTATCAACTCCGCTAAACTGAAAGACCTCATGGCGGAGTGGCACAGCCGAGTTTCCAAAATGTCCAAACAAGCCAGGACCGCGGACGTCGAACGCATCAAACAGTCGACGACAGTAGGCTGGCGATTTTGCGACCGTGCCGATCATTACGGCGTTTCTCTCAAGGAGCAACATATGCTGGTCCTTTCCTCCATACGCATTCTCATATCCTCCATCTGGGGTATGCTGAGGGCTAGTGACGTGCGTGCTGGAAACCTGAATGAGGATTATCGAATATCGATTGATGTCATTAAATGGCCACGACTACCGGCATCCTATCGCCCCCTGGCCGTGCTCATGGCAGAGTATGGCTGGTGTCCCCACGAAATCTTGAGACTCCTCGGCACCTATCATCTTACCACAGTCTGGACAATGACATGCCTGCTTCGAAGAATTCCGGCTCAACTTGATCATGAGCGTTGCGCCGGTGCCATCAAGTGCGTTGCCCGCGACGTGGACCCAGATGATCATCAGGCCAACCATGTGACTAACAGCTGCAATTGTGAAGCCGTGGGGCCAGACATCGAGCAAGTGAAAACGATTCTAAGAGGCGGCGGCATCCCCTTGATAAGATGTAAGATCTCAGAAGACGGCCGGCCGAGCTTCAAAGTGGTCAGTGCGAAAGGCGTCAAGAGACACATTGCCTTTAGCCATGTCTGGGCTGATGGGATGGTCATCCCAAAACAGAACAAGATCTTCAGATGTCAATTCCTCAAGCTGGCATTCTACCTGGAGAAGGCCCGTGTGGATGTGCAAACAGAGAGACTGTTTGCTTTCCTCCCCCTCGCACCATTCCTTGCCCGTCATGTTTTCAAAGGGTCCCAGTCATTCGACATCTGGTTGGACATTTTCTGCATTCCGTCGATCCTTCACGCAGACTCGCAGGAACTCAGGAGACAGGCAATAGCCCGCATCTGTAAGCGCCCCTCTCTGGGAAGACTGTGCCATATTCCAACCCCCCATTATCATTGCTCCGTTGACACCTTTATTGCGCTAATGGATTTCCAGACTATGTCTTCGCAGCAGCGGAAGCTGTTCTGATCGTCGACAAATCCTTAACAGACGTCACGGACAGTGATATGCCGACCACTGAACTTATGGCAAGGGTTGCATCTTCGGGCTGGATGACACGTTGTTGGACCTTCAGTGAGATGTCGCTTGCTCAGAAGTCCGTTGCACTGTTCTGTGTCGGCGACAGGGTTATTCGATATGAGGATTTCAAAGAGGACGACAAGGTCTTCAAGGGGCTTGATATACCTTCTCGAAGCTTGTTCCGCAATCTGGGGGACTCTGCATTCATCCCTTTCAATATTGCATGGATTGCGTCACAGGCGGTGGTGTCAGAATACGTCGCTTTCGCCCTGATTTGGAACTCATTGTCCGCCCGGTCCACGTCATGGCCTGGGGACGTCTGGGGAATCATGGCCACGCTCCTGGGCTACAGTGGGAAGGAAATCATGACTCTCCAGGAACGCGATCGACTCCCAGCCATGATGAAGGAGCTGCCCAACATTCCGGCGTCCTTCTTCTTCCGCGATTTACCGCGATCAGCTTCGGCCCCGGCGCAAATGAGATGGATTCCCACGAGAGTCCAAGGCATTATCCGAGACGGTGACGGGACGTTTGCCTTCACCGACGGCGGAATCGTGTTTCCCAGGACCTTGAACCTCAAGTTCCTCCTATCGCACACCACGACGGTGCCTCCGTCATTTTCATTCGAGTTTCGCCACGAAGACCTATCGGCCAGACCTGATCTTTTGCAGATCATGTTCCAGATCAGCCTTCACGATCACGACGCAGTAGCGCAACACGCCGGCAGCAATGCGCAAATCTGCATCTTGCTCCCTAGGAATGAATCCCAATCCGGCGACAGTGAAACAGCGTATATTAGCGGACTCGGCTGCGCTCTTCTTGTCACTTCCATCCGCGCAGACTCGACCGTCGAGACCGAGTTTCTGTCCTCCTTATCCTACAGATTTGGCACCGAAAAACAAACCCATCACTTACAAGCCAGCCTCGCAGGACCGAACGTCGTCCTCCGATGCGACCGCCAGCAATGGTACCATGCCAGATTGAGGAGAAAGAAGCACACTCTGGCACCAGAGAAATTCGAGAGAATTTTATACTTTGGCGTACCTGCTGTGCTCGTCTTCGTCATGGCCGCCACCATGGTCCCGCTTTGGATATGGTACGGTGTGACGCACCAACCAGTCAATGTCCAAGCGAGTCTGGTCCTCGCGACATGTGGGTTCGCGCTGTTCATCGTCGCCGTCATGATGGTGGTCATCTTCCACGAAAATCTTCTGTTTCGAAACTGGGTTGATAGTTTTGACCTTGAGAACGACGGGCAACCGAAGAGATGGTGGAAGAAAATCATGCCGCTCTGGTGAAGCTCTTCATTTGTGCTTGCAATTGCGCATTACCGAGTCAAAAAGTCACGCCATCAAAACAGATGGGATATACATTGCCTTTGATGAACATCAGTTCTTGGTATACGCTGTGTCGCAGTCGAGGGACAAGGCTATCACGATCTTGTTGGTTGGACAATTCGCAGATGCCGCGGCGATGTGCGTGCTTCTTCACATAGCTGAGCTTCTGGCCGAGCGGTACGGAGGAGTTGTGCTCTCGCAGCGGAAGACAACCCGCGATGTAGATGACCATGTCAAAGGAGCGAGGCTATGTTGGCGATTTGCGTACGATGTAGGCGTCAAAGCCTGGGGAACAAAGGCTGATGTGCTTAACAGCGAGGGCTGGCACCAGTGGCACTAGATCCCAACTAGCACACACTGTTGGTTGGTGGGTGGCGCCCGGGGCATTACTCCAAGCATGCTCCTTACGTAGCAACTTTGGACGGGGGCGATTTGTGTGCTTGATCTTCTGTTTCGACTGCTTTCCGACCAGCACTGAAATTTACGTCCAACTGATCTAATACCTCCCCATCCGGGCATTGCACAGGTGGAACCTAATTCAGTCGATCTTCAAGGTGCACAATCATCATGCTGCCGGAGTCCGAGAGGCAAGAGAGACTGGACAATCAGCTCGACCAGGCCGCAGACCCAACTCTGGTCGAGTCGCATTACCAGAAGTCATTAGGAGGTCAACCTCAACGGGCTTCGGCTGGACCATCAGCCGAAGTACTTGACCATGGCTTGGATGAACAAGTCACCGACGAGTCGAACGAGCTCCCAATTCACTATGTGAGCAACTCTGCGCGACGGCGCCACAAAGTGTTCGTCGAAGACGAACCTCTAGTTGACACCACAGCTGCACTGACCAAAAATTCTAAGAAGACAGCTAGGCTGCAGAAGCGGCAGCAGAAGAAACAGGCCCGAAAAGTGCACTCCGAGATCCAGTCTCTTCTGGACTTCCCACAAGAACTCCTGTTGATGATTCTGGGCTTCCTGCAGCCTAGCGAAATCTTCACCATGCTTCGTCTCAACAAGTCGTTGCGGGCATTGATTACAGACAACGAGCGATCCATCGCCGACGACATCATCGGGCATCGGTACTGGGTGTTAAAGAAGTGCTTTCCTCTGCCGGTGCCGTTTGAGATGGTGCCTTCCGGGGCCCGACCAGCATTGATGAGTGAACAGTGGCAGGATCGGCTGAGGATCCACAAGAATCCATACCAGCACATCAAACACATCGATCCCTCGCATACCTGCACCTGCATGAGCTGTGTCCTTGCCTGGAACAACTTGAATATCATCCTTGACCTTGCCCACTGGCAGCAGAATCTCGCAACCCGCGTGCCGTTACCTATAATACCGCGCGGTACAAATCCGGAATGGAACGTCAACCTACTAGAACGACATGCCGCCATTGTCACAAAGGCAATGAAGAGCCCGCTCGTTTATGCTCGGATTTTGCAGATCCACCTTGAGACCACAACCCGCACCATTATTCGCTCCGGCAGCTGGAGGAAGAAAGGCGAGAAGAGCAATGCTGTCAAGCCGCGGACTTATCACCTCACCGATGCAGAGGTCGAGGCCGGGACTGATGACTTTCTCCAAAGAAGCGGTCCGCCAAGCTATCAACCAATTTACATGCGTGACAACTATTACTCAGTCGAGGCTTTTGTGCCAAACCGCAAGTGGGGCAAGGAAGACCAGAGGTGGTTTTACTATGCCAAATGGCCACGGCCGCATGAAAACGACTTGAACTGGCTTGCCGCAAGGTTCACTCCAAAGACAGAGCGGAAAGCCCGTGAGCAGCCATCGGGCAATGTTACGGAACAAAGCCAGGGACGCTTCACCACCCCAAATGAAACCACGACACCTCAGGATGCCCGGTTGATGGAGGTCACACTTCCCTTGGACGAGAAGCCCGAGTCCGGCTCGTGATGACGACTCACATCAATGCTGCGAAACCGCAGGCTTTCCAAATGCCGATGGGACATTGGTAACGCAAACAGGTCTGTTCATCATAAGAGTACTACGTGGACGCCTGAAATGGTGTCATTGTGCTTTGTCTCCGCCTTAAGAGGCAGAACACCTGCCCGTTACCAACCGCCATCAAATATCCACAACTGTGCAGCCAAATGGAACAGTTTCGATTTCGACACCGCGGTCAATCGCGACCGACGGCATTCCGATCGCTTCTTTCTAGGATTGTGTCGTCAGATAACCGTAAGGCCACAGGCTGGGAGGTCTGCTCAATCAGAAACACGACTCGCAATTCATCTGGACCGGTTTGTCATGCTTCAAGAGGCTCTGCGACCGGCGGAAGGTTGCCGACGTATACACCACCTTTGACAATGACGATCAAACACGCGGCCCTGAAGATGTCGGCAAGAGTGGCACACCGTCAATCACGAGGGTGGACGAAGGCGAGAACAATGGCACTACTCGAGCTCAAATCAATGGCGATCTCACGATGGACGGTGCTGGCTCAGCATCTTGGGTGGCACTGGGTATTCTGGTTCCTGTTGATCCTCGGTGGAGTTTACATTGTGCCATCATCGCTTTTCTTCCCCGATACATGCAGAACTATGGTCGGCGAGGGCACATTAGACGCCAAAGTGGACACGTGCCTAGCAGACGTCTCGCGTCCAGAAGCGACGGAGACATGACGGCACTACTGAAGTGGACACAACACAAGCAGAGCATGAGAAGCAGAAGTCTAGAAAATCCACTGGTCGTGAATGGGACGTTCGGCCCTCTAACTCAGTCTGTCTCGACTTGGAGGCGGCAATCATCTCCTTCTACTTGTATGTCATTTCCTCGGGCTTCTACGTTGTCTCAACCACCTTGACAACTCAGTTTCACAATATCTACGGCTTAAGCAGCATATTGTAATGTCTACTTTTCATCCCCAAGCCGGGGTTATGATCTTCGCGGCGCTTAACGATCCCCACTCCCTGGATTGGTCCTTCAAGCGCCACACCCTCAAGGCAGCATCGCAAGAACCAAGAAACAAGACACACCTGCCGAGACCGCCAGGTGAGCGAGCGAGGCTAGAAGCTGGTTTCCCTTTATTTGATCTCCGTCACCATCTTTATCACCATCTATGCGGCGACGAACCTTGTGAGATATTTACAGGGTGCTAGGGCCAGTGCATTGCGAATCCGATGATCGAGGTGATGTGTTTTCGAATCCCATGATCGAGGTGATGTGTATGGATGGACCTTTACGCTTGTGAGATTGGTCGAGCTGGCGGCGTTGCTTATACGGTCTTACCAGTGATGCATAGATGTAGTGGAGAGCGAAGCAGCACGACAAGGAAGAGAGAAGAAAGACAGATGAGTGAGACGGGAAGAGACCAAAGTATGGACGTATGACGGGTGACTTCACACCTCGAATCTTAGATGATGCACTGCAGTGAATTCGTGCAGAGCACAGCACAATTTAGATGGAGCAGTTGGCAGAGTACGAGGCACGGAGTGCGGTGGCTCGGTACCTACATAGGTAGCCTCGTAATGTGCACTGCAAGGCTGAGCGTGAATACGATATACGGACTACCGAACCAAGCTAAGCACCAATCAAAACGCCCCAATCGCGGATCTCAAAGTCATGCCACCGCGAGGCAAAAGTCCAAAGTCCAGAGCTCGAACAAAGTCAAGAAAATCGACAGGGCCTAGAGTTCGAGCTCGTGAGTTCTTCTTTCTACTGTGTACGCAACGGCACTCGTTCCCTCCCATCGACATCCATCACCACGCGTCCACTTGTACTTGTCACCACATCACCGGTCATGTCGAGATAGAATCGCTCCAGACTCAAGCATGGTGCGCAAATTCCTCGAACGCACCCTCCGAGGGACGAACCTCGAGATCTTCAAAGTGCGTACCGTACCCTAGCTACAGTACCATCCTCCCTAGTATACCTACCTATACCTTCGCGGGACTGTTTTAGCCGTGACTTTTTCATACCCGATTCATTTCCCACACAAGCACGCATGCATTCACCCATGCGCATTTGTATCCATCAATGTATGCGATCTACAATATGCAATATGCGATATGCTTCATCATACACCGAACACTGCACACTGCACACCGCACACCGCATACCGCATACCGCGCATGCTATACATCATGTCCATATCCATATCCATATCTATCCCAAACACCATGCTAATTGCTTTTCATTGCTCCAGTTCGGCCTCTACCTCTCCTTCCCCATAGGATACATGTACTACTTCGGCACGAACCTGGAGAACCGCTTCTCGGTGCCGGGCTTCTGGCCCACGCAGGAACAGAGTCACAGGATCCCTTACGAGCGGGACGAGATCAGGGCCGAGATCGAGCGTCATCAGAGGATGTTGAGGGAGAGACGGACAGAAATGCAGAGGGAGAGGGAGAGCGAGAGGGCGAAAGAGCACGAACATCAGCAGGGGCAAGGGCAAGAGAAGCTGCCTACCTGAGAAAGTGGCTGATCGATTCACTGCTTGGCTACCTGTCGATCGATCGACGGTCTGACTGTCCCGCCGTATGAGCTGCGGACCTCCACCTGTATGTGTACGCGCCGGTATACCTGCCTGCCTGCCCGCCTGTCGACCGGGAGACAGCGGCGGGATGAGGGACTGGTAGATGGATGAGACGGGGGGATTCGGTGCCGTACGATATACATACAGTGTACGGGCAGTGTGAGTAACTGAGTGAGTGTCAATATGCATGGCGACGGCGCGTTGGGGAGCATTCAACTGCAAGAACAACTTCGAGGCCCATGCGGCTGATTACACTGTTGTACATTATGTGTCGACACATGGAGGATGTTTTGGAGGCTCGGCTCTAGTCGATCCGGTTCGAGTCAACTCGACATACTCGACCACATGTTGAAGAAAGGGTGACAGGCACAAAACTAAGGAGAACATGCGGCGTACGGCGTACGTCGTACGGCATACGACATGCTGTATGCTGCATGCTCAGATATTGTACCTGTCGACACGGAAAATCTGTCCACTCCATTCCAATATATCGAACGAGTCCGGCTGCCTTTGCCATGCTCAGTGTGAGTTTTCCAGCGCTGCCACCGGAGGTATGTAGCTTCATAGCGAGCATGTCCGCATGCGAACGGCTCGATCCCTAAACGCCATTCGCCATACACATATGTCCCACACCCGTGAACAAGACAATGGGGTATCGATGAGAAGCTCAAAGTTCTTTTACTGCTTGTGACATGGGGGTTGCCCCAGATTTCAACGCCTCCGACGTGATCTTCAGACCTTCGTTTGCGATCGATGAGATGGCTTCTCCCGAGGGCCCGGCTGCGGTGTTGTACGCGTACTCGCCGTGGACGTAATATGACATGCGATTGTAAATGACGCCAATGTGACTTGGCAGGTACAGTGTCGCGGCCGTCACGAGGAGGGAGACGAGGAGGAAGAGGATGAAGTCTAACCAAGTGTCAGTTGGCGGATCAATCTAGGTGCGGCGAAGACGCGAACGTGAACGTACTGAAGATGAATTTCTCCGTGGGAGTCAGCATGTACAGCGAAAAGGTGACTTCATATTGGTACTTCTTCAGCTGTAGCCACTGCTTGGCTGAGGCGAAGTACGAGGTCCGTCTCTTCTCTGTGACTTTGCCATAGTCGGGCATTGTGAAGGCGAGAATCGGTGCGGACATGGGGATCAAGAGAGCGCGGTGCCACGAGCAGTCCGAATAAAGGAGAGATGTAATCCAGCCACGGCCCGCTCTTGTCTCGGCGTGAGAATGTGTCGCGCAGAGCGTAATTAGGGACGAACGACGAGCGACGATTGGAAACAAGGCTGACGTCGAAGTGAAAGGCTGGCGGTGTGCAAAAAGGAGGCTCGGCCAACTTGGTGACGTAGGAAGCTGAGTGAGAACGAGCCGGGAGCAAGTAACTCAGGAGATGGTCGAAAAGTCCAGCAGCGGGATGTAGTATTGAGGACAGCAAGAGCAGGAAGAAGAAGTCCAGCAGAAACCGAGCGAGCGAGCGAGCGAGCTGAAGCGACTGATTCGAGTGAGACACGATTGAGATGCAATTCGAAGACGGCGGTTTGGCGACGGCCTTTCGTCTCGTCTCGCCTAATAATTAAATTCCTGCCACGCGTGATTAGAAGATGCGTCAAGCATGAAGCAAGAACACGAACAGGGATTGTCGCTTCGGCTTCAGCTCACTTTTCCACCAATTCGGTGCCGCATCTCCGGACCGCGTCGCGAACTCTTTCCCCTTTCACTTCGCGCTCACATATCCGCGTATGAAGTAATACGCGATATGCCAACAGTCCTCTGTAAGTACTTCTCCCATGTACGGGGTATGGCCACACCTGCTGCATGAACGTGCAGATCCTGGTCCGGACTGGGGCTCTCATGCTCAAAGGCTCCCTGCTGACCTCATGCTCAGTACACGGTGACCGGCACGAATCCATGATTTTTCCGGGACGGAGACGACAAACGTGAATGTGGCCGGTTTGCTGTCTCCGACTCAGAAATGCTGTATTCGCGTCCGAAATGCTGCCGATTCCTTCAAGCAGGGTCTGTCCCTTCGGGTTCGGAGCTCCTCGGACGCCGACACTCAGCTCCGACGACCTCAAGCATTTCCAAGGCTCATGCTTGCCTGAGCGGTTACCAACTCGAGGTTTCTATATTGCACTGCCTCGCCGATTGATCCACTGTCTCAGGCACATCCGGCTGCGGCCGGATTGCTTGAAGGGGTTCCTGCTCACTAACCTGGTGGCTTTACTCAAAGAGCACGCGCAGAGTTGAAAGGACGTACCGGGTCATGGCATACTCCTCTTGAAACGCAACCCTGGAAATGAGAGCAATGGGGAGCAGAATCCAACGTCAAATATTCACCCCCGATGCTTTTTAGGGCTCACTTGTCCAGACTGCTCCTAGTCAGCTCTGTCGGAGCCATGCCTGCCTTTGATTGAGTATTCGCTTCTACATGACTGGTATCCATACCGAGGTGTCCTCGAACTACCACGAAGGGGGGAGGGGGGGGTAGCACTTCCAGCACGTAAGCCCATGTTTCCACTATGGATTCTGTCAGCGACTCGCAGCGTGGCCGAAGCAATTCGCAGTATATCACGACACCCTTTTACAGCAGTCAAAGCACAGAGAGACCGTCCAGCCTTGTCTATCGGACTCATCATATACTATCGGCCTCAGCTCACACCTATACTCCACCCTGCTCGAGGACAGGTTTGTGTCATGATAATTTTCCCTCTCAACCGCCCGTCTGATTTGCGGAGTACAAGGTTGCGACAGTCTCAAGGCGCAATGTCCTTCCCCCCCGAAAGCAATAAATCCTTAGTCTTCAGACACACTGTTTCTTCACTATACGTCTTCCCCATGCCTCTTTCCAGTGCCATTAATCCCGTTCCTGCTCTCACGGTGCATATGCGGCTACGACACTCCCGATGGGAATGACCTTCCGGCAAAAAGGTCCCACGGAGTACCGTGCAGTCACAGCTTACCCACTGCTCTCAGAACAGACCCTACACCCTTCGTGAAGTGACACTCCTGTGATGTTATCGCAACTCACTCCCTGCTGCACAAATCATGTTCAAGTGTGCTCCGAGAACGAACGGCCACTTCCTTGGACGTCTCGACTGTGGCTCAAAAGGACCAAAACACACTCAGATTGATTGCCCATTCATGCGAACTACACCTAAACCCGAAAATGTAAGTACCTCGAGGATACCTCGCATGGTCCACCAAGCCAAACAGTCCGCAGAATATGAATATGAAGACCTGATTTAATCCCGTCTTGTCCGTTGAACAAGGACTACTCCTAACAGGTCTGTATCAGAGGGTGGAAGACATTCATAAGATCCTGCAGACATGCATTCACCAAGTTCTCAAGCATGGTACGGACAGAGTCGCCGTGGGATAAATCTTGTCTTGGGGGAGAAACGTCCGTCTTCGTGTCTCGTAAAATCAATTCCCCAATCTATCATCTACGCGTGCCTTTTATGACTCTATCATCTATGCTTCGCCTCGGCAACACCACCGCGATGCATACAACCACGCCGATCTCTCACTCAAGCTTTCCCATCCGAGAACTGCACGACAGCCCACTTGCCACTCCACGCCCACTTCCGGGCCCCTGAATCACCGCCGCCTCCTTCCATAGCGCGGATCTCTTCGTCCTTACCTTCTGGCAACCCGACCACGACGTCGGCCTTGCACGTGCGCAGCGCGAGTACTCTGAGGCCTGAGCCGGGCCCAAGTGGACCGATCGCTTCCGTAAAGGGCGTTGTGGGAGGCCATGCAGCCTAGCGAGCCAAGAACAAGTCAGCGGACGCAAGAGCAACAGAAATCAAGGGTAGGGTTCCTGTGGACATACATCACCGGTCAACTTTCTATAATTCAAATCACCCTTGAACACCACCAACTCGCTCTCCTTTAGATCCTCCATCAACGCCGGCACCACGCTGGGCAAGCGCCAGAAACTCCCCGCGTGGGTCCAGAACCGGTTCGGCCGCAGGATCAACTTGCCTTCGCCGTGCAGGTGGCTCCAGTGGTCGAAGAGGAACTGGACGTTCACGACCTCTTCCTCGGACAGCGGTACCGCGGGCCTTTCGGTCCCAGCAGCAGCAGCAGCCTCGTCGTCCGCGTCCGAGGCGTGTTCGTAGAACGCCCTCGGATCCGCCATGGCCGAAAGCAGCGCCGAAAAGTCCTTGGGCACCACGTCGCTCACGAACCACGGGATATCCTTGGGGTGCAGGACGACTTCGGTCGCCAGGCCCGTCGCGAGCAAATACCCGGCGAGGACCAGGTCGACGAACAGCTCGAAGCCCGCGTTGTCGAGCACGATGTCCACGCGCCGATTCTCCCGCTTGGCCTTGAGTGCGCTCGTCAGCACGGCGAAGGCGGCGTCGAAATCGTTCACCAGGATGTTCTTCTCGCTTTCCTTGCGCGCGGTACTGCCCTGCAGCTTCTGGATCTCCTCGTAACTCAGACTCGTCAGGAGGCTCAGATCCGTGGCATTCCCCCACAGACAAATCTCCGCCATCTCTACAAACAGTAACTTTTCGGCCTCCTCGATCTCCGTCGGGTCCGTGACGTCGCTGGCCACGGGCGCGTCGCTCTTCGAGGCCCGGATCTGCTCGATGATCTGCCGGTAGCGCGCGCACAGCTCCAACACGGCCGGTCTCGAGGATTTGAACGTCTTCATCTTCTGCCGGTAGAACGGGTCGTAGTCCTTCCACAGTTTCGTCTTGGCCGTGCTGAACAGCGTGGCGATGCGTCTGTACAGGTAACATTCCGAGAACAGCCACTCGACGTCATGCCACGTGGGCGGACCCCGGGCGTTCAGTTCGTCATTGTAGAGCTTCACGTCGGGGAAGCCGTCGTCGACAATGGGACCGAGCACCCGGTTATGCTGGAGTCCGTATTTCAGGGTCGCGAGCGCCGACGTGATGGCTTTCCCCTCGGCGAGGGCGTCCTTGTCCGAGTCCGGGATGCGCGACACCGTGCGGTGGACATCGTCAATGGCGCCCGTCACGATCGCCGGCCAGCGTTCACGGGCGGATTTATGTGCAAAGGACGTGGGGTCTGAAGTTTGGTATGTTGGCACTTTGGGGTCGTGTTCCATGGCGTTCCTTTTTATGGGCACCGGTTCTGCGCCTTTTGAAATTATCGAGTCTTGATATCACCTTCCAGATGGATCTCAGGGCCAAGGTCGAAAGAATCCGTTGAGCGAGCCTCGTCACAAAGTGTTGCCGCATTAAGCTGGCGCCAAGCACCAATCACGTCATGTTGAATGGCCGTTACGAGGCTGAGTCGCCGCGTCGGCGCAAGGCTGCATAGATAAACGGTCCGTATTGCTTGCTTTTTGTCTTCTTTGATTTCCTCTATCTATATAAGGTTTTACACCCCGCCGGATCCTTCCAGGTCTTATCCAAAATCCATACGCAGCTCGATGGCCGGCCTCGACTCTACGTTCTCTTCTGCAGATTTCTCTTGTCTCTTGCCCACCCCAGCAGCACGCAGCAAGCTCTCCAGTTCCGAGCGCTGTTCCTCATCTAGCAGTCCTACAGTCACCTTAAACGCAATTTGATCAGCTGCCACGAGTTCAAGAAGTCTTGCTGCACTCTCTTTGCGCATGGTCTCCGAATTAGTCGCTGCCGGGACGACCTGTTTGGCACGAAGGAGGAGGACTGGCACCAGTATCGACATCGCAGCAAACCGGCCGGAATCTTTGATGGTCACCACTGCTGCCACGAGAGCTTGTGTCAATGCTGTCTTGACGTTCTCCGGATCCTCTGCTTCATGGTCTGAGACAAACTGAACGAGCCGTGTCCACAGAGCCCTGCCAACTACCTCGTCGCAGGCTGACTTCGGGTGGGTCACCAGCAATGAGCGCATGCACCCAGCAGCAATCTTCGCTAGGCCGACGTCTTGGAGACAATCCAGCAACTCTGCAAGTGATTGTGTCACGGAGTCGTCGTTGGCGGGAAGGACAGAGCTGGCGGTCGTGAGCAAGATTGTCATCGACAACAACGTGTTCTTTGCACAAGTGATGGCATGCTCATTTTCTCGGCGCTGCGCAACCGCCAGAATCGACAACATGCGACGAAGGCATCCGCGAACGAGTCTTGAGGCTACCTCGCCCGGGGCCGACTGTATGACATCTTGCAAAAAGGCCTTGAATATCGGCATAATTCGTGGTAACACTGCGTCCTGGCATATTCCTGTTGCAAGAATGGTACAGTAGCTGTGCATGATGCAGGCATGCAAGTCTGCTCGAATGATCGCGGGAAAAACCGACGCAACGTCAACCAGAGCCTGGAAGCAGAGCTGAACAAGGGCAATCCCATCATCTCCGAGTCTGCGTAAAGCGACGCCGGGCGGATCTTCCAACGTCGGAATGAGACCGGTCAGGACGAGGATGATGATTCTCGTCAGTTCGAAAAGCTGTTCAATATCATCCGAAAGCTTGTCGTCGCGGTCTTGGTCCTTTGCTGCGATGTGGTCTAGTGAGAGGTTCCTGGCTATCTCTACCAATTCACTCTGTGTCTCTCTGGTACTGGTAAGAGCAAGTCGGTCCAGAGTATCCGTCGTTTCATTGAAGACTGCATCCTCGTAGATGGCGTTACCACAGACTTCCGGTGTCAGGATCTTTCTGAGAGCCTGCAGAATTGACAGCACTTGCGATGGATCCTCTCGGGCTTGGGTCACCAATGCTTCGAAGGCTAGGCCGAAGAGGATGAAGAAAAATGCCACTGGCTCTTCGCGGAAGCTCATGTCCTTGCCTGGTGTAGCCGTACCGTTGGTCTGGCTGTCGGCAGCTGAGACTCGCTTATTGTCGAGCGCATCAAAGACAGACTCGCTGTCCTTTTCAACAAGCACAGCAATAGCGTCGACAACGCTGAGCCAACTCGTTTGATAGAACTTTAGCCGGACTTCGCGGTTGAAAGAGGCGTATCTTTCGTCCAAATTGCCGCCCGCTACCTCGCCTCCTAGAGTGTCTGAAATTTCTGGCTCGAAACGCAAGCTGGCAAACTCTTGCAACGACGTCAGCCAAAGTGGTGCGAGCTTGGGGATAAATGGTTGCAGGATCTCCTCCAGATATGGTTGGTCAGCGCTGGCGAGTTGGAGTTGTGCCCATCCCGACAAGATAGCCATCTTAAGCATCGCTTGTGCGTTAGGACTGAGGTTGTTGAGATCACCAATTGCTGCTTCTGGTGTGGGTCGTGTAAGGTTATCCACCCCTAAGGCGAGCACTTTGAAAATGCGTCCCATTCGCTCGGCGTTGGTCACGATACCGGTCGCAACAAAGGTAGCACAAACACCGATAGCTTCAGCCGCTAGCTCCGGTGACGAGTCAGCAGCAAAGGCTGGCGTCAGAGCCGAGCTGATCTGAGCTTGGTACTGCTCGAGAAGAGATGCTTCCAAGAAATCTGGATCTGGAGTCTTCCCAAATAACTTCAAAATCTGGTCGATAATCCGAAGTCCCCAGATGCGAAGCTCTACCACATTGGCCGTAGAGGCGGAAAAGGCGACGCGGACCACGTCCGCCACCTTGCTCTGTAAGACTTCTTCTGCATGTATAACACGGTCTGGTGACATGCCTGCATGGATGATGTCCATGGCTTCGCTGAGCAGTCGCATTGCAAAGTCCCGAGTCTGCCACCGGAGAAATTCTTGGCCTTCAGGCGCAGCATCAGCAGCATCGCCTTGTCCACCAGCCGCTGCCGTCAAGCCGGCCACGTCTTCGTCGGCTAAATCGGGCATTGCGGTCTTTGCTGTAGCCGTCTGCACTCGTGAGGTGGGTGGAGCCTTTGCTCTCGTCCTCGATAGGATGCTCTGGCATTTGTCAACCCAATCAGCCGTGTCCAAAAGAATTGTCTGCTGCATCCAGTTCTGCAGCATTGCCTGTAGCGACCCGCTCCCTGGATTGTCATCCAGACGCGCCCATAAATCATCACCAAGCTTCGAGGTTGCAACGCGAGCGACCTCTGATGCATTCCTCTTCATCAACTCATCTAGGCCTTTCACGGCAGCGGATTGGAGAAGGTCTTCGTCAGATAGCAGGTTCGCCTGCAGATCCAAGACATATTTGGCAAATTGCAAGTGCGCGGGCGCGTACATGCAAAGATGCCGAAGGCACTGATAGCTCTCGCTCCGTAGTTGTGCTGAAGCCTCTTTCTGCAGATAACCGACTAAGACCAGAATCAAATTTCGGGCCTTGGACACATCTTGAAGATCGGGCCCAAGCACGTTGACGACGCTGTCCACACATTGAGCGATGGCCAAGGGCGTGAAAAGCTCGAGCTCAAAGTTGGAGGTTGTAAGAGAAGCAGCTTCCTCGTTATGGGAGTCATTCGAATATAATTGTGCCAGGAGACCGAGGGTGCTCGTCGCGTAGGTCGAAAAGGCGAGCCCGGCCGATTCAGCCACCAGAACCAGTCCCTTGAGTGCCCAATAGTGGACTATTGTATGAGTGTCACTGCACAAGGATAGAAGGACACCAACAATCGACTTGATATGCAGACTGGCTGCCATGGCACCCACCTCTGAGTGAATGTGACCGAGAGCAAGAGCACACCCAGCACGAACGCTAGGATCGCGGTTCGCGACGATCATGTCAATGAGGAACTTAACCTCTTTGTTGGTAAACTGCGTCCCGGCTAGGTTGCATATGCGGCCAATGGCTCGGGCAGCTATGTGGCGTAGCGCTGGATCGGAACTGCAAATATACTTGCCCAACAAGTCGGTGATGGCCTGACCGATCGCTCCGACGTTCATCTTTCCGGAAGTGTACGGCGTTTCATTGTTTGCGACAGCTAGAGCACATAATAGCGCCAAGGCTGCATTGACCTGCATTGCCGCCTTCCTGCCAGGTTCTCGTTGGAGTTGCTGCGAGACAGTAGTGATCAACTGCTCGATCGTGCTCTCCTGGATCCGGCCAGACTGGAGAGGCAGGGATATTGCAAAGAGTTTGATAGACAAGTTGACGCAGGATGTTGCTGGTGAGCTCAATTCGGCGTCGCTCGAGCTCGTATCTTGCCGTGCTATCAGCGCAGCATCGTGCTCGATTGCAGGTATGGCCGGGCATCGGAGCAGAATGTCTGGCACTGAAACATCCTGGTCCGTGTACATGTCACTTCCCGGTTGCGAATGGCTATCAAAGGGGAGATAAGTGTCAAAGTGGTCGACCAAGCTGCTGACACCGAAGCTCCAGTTGTCCTCGGTCGTCCACAACCCCTCAAAGGTGCTCGCAGTGTTTGCTAGCGATGCCTCCAAGCTTTTCAGCACCGGACGTTCAGGGTCCGTGAAAGTTGTCATCGTCAGACCTATTAGGTCCGATTGAGAAACGACCTCGGTTTGCTCAAGGTGTCTTAGGCTGACCAATGACGCGAAGCATTGCAGTACCCGTCGTCGGAGCAAGATTGCAAAATCCTGCAGCTGGAGGGCAGGTACCAGTCGGTGAGAAAGGTCTTCGGATTCGCGAGCTGGAGGTAGGCTGTTGAGGAACAAGATTGTGTTATGCAGCATGGTGGAGATGCGTTTTGATCCGTCAAATGTGATCAAACCGCTACAAGAGGATAGAAACATGAGCAGCGCACTCAAAGCACATTCTCGAACGTGAGACAAGAAGCTCAGCTCGAGATGGCCTCTTCTGCTCGCATTCTCATGAGTCAGGGGAGGTGGTAGTGCATTCCTCCACATCAGCATCAACTGATTAAGGTGGACTTTGACAAAGCTCGGACCCAAGCTCACCACGCCTCCGATCAAGGTCCATGCAACCTGCACCTGCATTGCGGATAACCTTAGCTCTGCCGCCGCACTGGATTTTAGGAGGTCTGTCGCGAAAGTGAAAATCGCAAAGTAGGTCTGAACCGAGCCGTAGAGCGGTTTTTGACGAGCACAGCTGACCGCAATGGCGATGGCTGTGGCAAACCCCAGAGACCGCCGATGCGGTTGTTTGCCCTCGGAAGGCTGAAACTCCTTTTGCAATTGTGCCATTGCATGATCGATGGTACGCGTGAGCTGGTTCGGACAGGCGAGGATGAATGCCTTGAAGCATTGGGCTGCATGGCTTTGCACCGTGTGGCTTGGGTGCTGCACAACTTGGAACAGTGCTTCTCT